AAATGTACACCCCGTTCGTGTTGAACTACCACTGGACAAGCTGCAACCCAGTCGGACCACGCCGGCGGCTTGCAGACCAGTTGAGAGACCTTGGTGTGGAAACATCAGAGATTGACACAGTGCTCTTCAGGTAATGTTTCTACGATCAAAACCAATTACGTTCATTTGGATGCCGGGAAAATTAACCGGCTAGCAGTCACGCACATTGGGACCACTGCCGTCCGGTCAGAGCAGAATTTCCAAATGCCAAGGTCATCTTTGGCCGCGGAACCACGTCACACTGCTCTCCGGGGCATATCCAGAACGATGAAGTCCAGCCGATGGTCCAGTGGGATTCTCGAATTTTCGGCGATGACAAAGTTCGGACAGAAAATTTCCAAGAGCTTGAAGGCTCGTGGCAGTCCTGGGGACCGTTCAAATCAGCACTGAATTATTTCGGGGACGGCAGTCTCTGGATCATCGAAGCCCCTGGGCACATGGCAGGCAATCTCGCAGCATGTGCGCGTCTAGAATCGGGCGAACGCGTAATAATGGCCAGTGACTGCTGCCATTCAAGGTTAGTTGATATCCGCACTTCCATGTCAAGAGTTTTCACGTTATCTTTCACAGAGCCCTTTGCATTGGACTCATTTTCCGACAGAACAGTAGTCTGACATTCGTGCAGGGACATCTTTCTCGGTCACCGAGAAATTGCCAACGTGGAAATGGCCGACGGATCCCGTTTCTGCTTGCATGAAGATCTAGACGAAGCGCTTGATACGATTTCTAGGCTCAGAAAGGCAGCTGAGAAGTATGAGATGCACATTGCGATGGCTCATGATGCTGAGTTCATCAAGGACGGCAAGGACCCTGTGTTGATGTCAATCTTGCACCCCATGTTCGATAGCACTGTCCTGAACAGAATCAAAGCTCATGGAAGGCCATGATGGGCCAGGAACGCATTATTTCTGGCCAGCTAAGTACCTCAAGAAACAGATGCTCATATCATGCTGTCAGCGTTGTCACTTGTGAGAGCTGGCCCCTGCCACTTCCCCGCAGTCTTCCCCAGCCATTGCCGATATAAACATCACTTATCCGCAGTGGCTTCTGGGGTGCAGAAGGCTCCGTAAAGCTTGCTGGGTTCGCCCTTCCATCATTGCCGACGGTGTGGTGCATGAGATGTGACGCTAGAGAAGCTGACACAGCCCTGATTCATCAGCTATCAGCGAGTCGCAGGTCGTGGATTTCAGACTCCCAGGGCACTAAGAGGTCAGCACGCATCAGGTGCGGAGAAGAGTGTAGGGGCTGTCCTGGTCCCCCGCAAGTCAAGCCCGGCCTCTGTCGGCATCTCAGGAATCCGATCTGCTAGCAGCGTTCCTTGCCAACACCACATCATAGCATTTGAGGCTACCAAAGCACTTCTCGAAGCTGTTCGAATCGACGGAGGGAAAGCGTCGAAACACGGTCGCCGCGTTCAGAGATACAGAGCATACAGATAACACGTCGATGTCTTCAGGACCCGAAGGAAGTCCCTCCAGCGCCGCGCGAAGAGGTCGACCACGACGACAGTACAAGTGTGCGCACTGCTCAAAAGCATTCAAGCGCAGCGAGCATTGCATTCGGCACGAGAGAACCCATACGCACGAGAAGCCCTACGTGTGTCGATACTGTCACAAGTCATATGCGAGGAAGTAAGTATTGGCAAGGCTTTTCGGCCTTAGACAACCCACGAATCTCAGCTAAGGGGGAGCTTCTAGGGACCTTGTAACGAGACACGAGCGCACACTTCATGCGAAGGAACAAGCAAGAGAAAAGATTGCGGATGTGGTGACAGTGGCATGCGCGCCATTGGCGCAAGCGACAGCTTTTTCGCCGTCGAGAGGCAATGGCTACATGAACGTAGATCAAGACGACGACGAAAGATCTGGACAAGAATCTCCAGACTCGCAGTCACCAGATGAAGGCGCCGCTTCTTCCACAACATCACCATGTTCCAGTCAAGCGCACCGTGCTAACTCGCGGCGGAAGTCATCCTCCCGACGGACAGCCGATCCCGATCTCGAACTAGAGCAGATGTTGATGTCTTTTCAGCCATTGACTGATCAGTCATTCGAGGCGCGTAGGGATCCAAGAGCCACGGAAAGTCGACCCGCAGATATCTTCCAGCATAGTACCCAACAAGAGGGAAACTTGCTGCCTCTTCATTACTTCCACGACGTCGATCCAGTTGAAGAGTTGCCTCCTTTAGATCCAGCCTTATTCATGGACATGGATCTTCCTTTCGAGAGCATTGCCATGGACGTACCGAGTAAATATCCAGAAGAAAACAGACATGAGACCGGGGCTTCAGAGGAACAACCCCCGCATCATCCACAGCACCCACCAGAGGGAATTGATGCTGCTGGTCCGTCCATGAACGCAACCGAAAATAGTGAGTTGTTCTCACCGAATACACTGGCCCACCTCGGCATGAGCACATTTAACCTGTCGCCCTTACCAAGCAACACTGCCGAGCAGAGAGATGATCGCAGACAAACCTTACGCCATCCCAACACTGCGGACCTTTCAAGCGGAGGTCCTCCTAGATGGGCTAGCTGCCACATATCGTCGGGCGGCAGCGATCTCCCTTCTTTACTCGAGGACAGGCGTCAGCAATATCCGACCGTCACCTTTGATGAAGACACGCACATGTCTCTTCGCAAAGACACATCTTCGCGGCTGAAGTCATCAACTGGAGACTTTCAGCTACCCACCGCCAAAACATTACAAGGCTTCTTATCTGCTTATATGACGAGTTTTCATAGCCATTTCCCAATCATCCACATGCAAACCTTCGACTTAGCGCACACTCCAGGCCCCTTGGTGCTTTCGATTTGTTCCATTGGCGCTCTTTACCGCCTGGACCGTCGTCGGGCGCGTCATCTCTATGCCCTGGCGATCAGCGGTGTGGAACAGGTGCCTCAGCCAACCAAGGATGATTCCAAATCCATGGTAAAGGATTACTTTCTTTGGTTCGTGCAGGCGAAAATCCTTCTCAGCTTTTACGCAATCATGAGCGGGGAGAAGGATCTAGTTGATGCAACGATGAAAGACAACGGCTTCTACACTTTGGTGAGTCTACCTACAATATTTTGCAATGAGTCGTTGTAGACAACTTCGAAAGAGTTGTACTGATTGCCTATTCGAAGGTCTATAACAAGGCTCGACTTGCGGTAGAAAACACTCAAACAGAATCATCCGAGATGACATGGCACACATGGATCGAACTTGAGTCATGGAAACGCGCGCTAGGAGGCATCTTCATAGAGAGTACCCTCACCATGGTGATCTACGACGTCAACCCCGGATTTCACGCGACCCAAGATCTGGACATTGAAACATATCAAGATGAAAAGATGTGGAACGCAAGGTCACCTGCAGAATGGCGAGAGCTCCGCACGGCTGCCTCAAAAAGCTCGCCAAACAGCCGTAGGCACACGATTAAGGACGTTCTCGTTGACATACTACTGGAAGGGAAGTATCATGCCGATACAGTACCGTACCATGTATCGTCTTTCACCGCACTTGTTCTGACCCATGCCATTGTGGTTCATATGTGGCAGAGATTACAAGTCTGCCAGGCCCTCGCTTCAACATGCTCAATAGCAACGACTGGCAATGGTGATGACCAAGACCCACTCAGAGCTTCGCTTCTCAACGGAGCCATGCAGTCGCTGGCTCGGTGTGGTGCTTTTCTCAAAGGCGTCAGCAGCGAGTTGCGTCAGCCACGTCCAGAAGAAGACGAGAAGGATAGAGAGCTCTCACTTGTCTTCAACTGCCAGGCAGTCTTGCGTATTGCTTACACCAGATTGTCGAAAATCGCCACCACCCCCTGTCGAATTAGCCTGTTGAACCTCGAGGACAGGGACATTGAGTCATGCGTGGCATCATTCGTCAAAGGCAGGATGGAACGAAGCTCCCATCTTCTTGAGATGGTATCAAAGTCCTTTGAAGGAATGGTTGTCCCAGTCAAGATGGGGCATCTTCTGGTCCGTAAGACTGCTGCTTTCCGATGGAGTATCGAGCATGCTGTAGCAGGGTGGACTGGTGGTAAGTGAACCCGAACAAAATCCCGAAAGCTAAAAGATAATTTCATCACGCTGATATAGCTATGAGCAGGTCTTCTTGTGTCGAAATGGGCCCAATCCATGGAGCAGGACATGATGGTTGGCGTACAACCAAGCCAAAGCGAGCTGGAACTTCTGACTTTGATCCGAGAGACTTTAGATGAGGCTGAGTGCGATATCGGCGAGGGCATGTCCCTCGCTGCCGGGATCGCTAGGACATGGGGCTGGTTTCTACAAGATGTAGGTGATGAGATTTCGTCCTCACGCAGTATTGCATGTTGATATACTGATCACATTTCAGGTCTGGGTATGGGGCATAACGCCACGGATGGGAGGAGTACTGAGTCAACTGGCCGATGCATATCAGGACGCATATGATGCCAACCGCCGCACCTCTACCGGCTCGGCATACAACGTAGAAAAGACGGGTCGAAGGGTACATCAAACACCTATGTTGCAGAATGTGTTTTGCTAGTAGTCAAATACGTCAAGCGGCTGTAATGTTGAGCCAGAAGGCACAACTCAAAACTTATTTCCCGCAGGCTAAGACGGTAAACAGAGTATCTAGGGAGCTATACGCGTTATGAAAGAGGAAAAGACAGGAGCAGTGGGTTAATCACTCAGTCGCCAGGAACTGCGACGTCGGAGTTGACCATTCTCTCGTGGGGAATCGCTAGGCGCAAGGGAGAGCAGCGTGCTGAAGCCTTCCTACGTAAGATACATTGATAGGTCGCAAGTCAGCGAGTTGGAAATAATGAGTTTCTACTTAAATGCGTGCTCCAAAGCGTTCATATAAACTTATTATGGAAGTCCCACCTCCCAAGTAGGACCTGATCTTCGACGTGGCGATGTAGGATCAGGTCGTATAGTTACCCCGCATGTATCTGTGGCCGCCTGGAATGTTAGTACACGCAAATTTCACCCACGCTCGTTAATTACCGACCGCCCCATCCCCTATCACGCAAGATATCGAAGAATCCCAAGCCAAAATGTCTGGGTTCAATGACATGATAGCTGCCCTTACAGCCCTAGAATCGACCGCACAAGGAGAAGTCCAAGTCTCCGCCCTTAGAGGCGGCGAATTCACCCTCCCCAAGCGGTTCTTCGTTGCGGGGGTATCCGAGAACGAAACAGCACTTGTCCCGTCACTCTCTTTCCTCGTGGTGCAGCAGCTAGTCGACGGGGGTCGCCGACACATCCTCTTCGATTTGGGCTTGAGACGAAATATTGAGCGTTACTCGACGCCAATACAGAGCCACACGAAGAACCGGCAGCCGATGACTTTACTGCCGGATGTTCGCCAGAGCTTGATCGATGGAGGCTTTGATGCGGCAGCTATCGATGAGGTCATTCTCAGCCACGTTCACTGGGACCATATTGGGACTCCCTCTGACTTTCCCAATGCTCGTTTTCGAGTTGGTGAAGGATCGCTCGAATTGCTGAGCAAGGGAATGAATGGTCACATGTCTCATTCCAATTTCCAAGCTGATCTTTTCGATGGCCTCAGGGTTGAAGAGATTACGAGCCCGAGGGGAAACGAAGAAGACACAGGGTCCGCAAAGAGATGGAAAAACTTGGGAAGGTTGAGATTGCTGGAAATCGGGGAGAACGACAGTGGCTCTTTATATGTTGTCGATTTGCCGGGTCACTTGCCTGGTCATCTTGGTCTTCTGGCAAGAGTAGGACCTCAGTCCTGGGTTTTGCTCATCGGAGATGCTTGTCACGACGCTCGTCTATTGACAGGCGAGATGCGGATAGCTGAGTGGGAGGATGGTGAGGGTCGAGCTTGTTGTATCCATGTGAACAAAGAAGAGGCTACAGAGACGCTGAGCAGCATTTCAATGTTGAAGAAAGCCTCGATGCAAAGCGGTCTCGTATTGCGGGTCATTTTTGCTCATGATGCAGCTTGGGCAAAGAGTCACCAAGAAGCCTTTTTCCCAAGCAAGATCGATTGTACCCCCAGACACAGATGATAGAATAGGTATCAAGAGTTCTACCGCAAATTGCCTTTTTTAGAAGTTGTCAATGATCATGAAAGTCTTCAAGTTTGAAGTATCTAAATTTGCGCTGGTTTCACGTGCCTAGCTTAGTGCTCGTGCTGTGGGATATGCTTTGCCATCAGACTTAGTCTCTCTTCTTCCTTACCCCGCCCCGACATCCTCTCTCAGATTCGTTTGATTACTTGAGCAAGTGTCAACACCCTCATTTAATCCACATATATACTCCAGACTGGAGGCACCAAAAAGCCTTCACTCTTGCATGCACACAAACACTTCTGCTCCCCAACGTTGCCCCTCCTTCTCATGGCTCAGCCACTAAGCCTAGGGTTCATTGGCCTTGGGGCTATGGGATTGCCCATGGCCTCCAATCTCGTCGCAAAGGTCGCGAAGGGTTCTAAAACATATGTCTACGATATATCAGAGAGCTCCATGAAGAAGCTCGTCGATCAGTCAGAGGATGTAGTGACAGGATGTAAATCTCCGAGAGAGGTTTCACAGAAGGCTGTAAGTTAACGCCCGATAAACTACATTTCACCACATTGAGTGACTTATATCGGGATTTAGGACATAGTCTTTACAATGCTCCCAGAGGGTAGTCATGTGAGAACCGTGTATTTGGATCCAGACACTGGAATACTTGGCCCTGAACTGAGGTCCCGTCTTCTCATCGATTGCTCAACTATCGACACGGAGACATCGCTACTGGTATCCACCACTATAAAATCCCAGTTCCCGGCAGCCTTTTTCTGTGATGCACCTGTGTCTGGTGGCACCATCGGCGCTGAAGCCGCTACATTGACGCTGATGGTCGGCTGCTCCGAGAGTGATTCCAACTGGCCAGAGATTCGCGAACTACTGAGCCTAGTGGGCAAGAATGTTATTGCATGTGGTGGTCCAGGCTTGGGTCTCACGGCAAAGCTGTGCAACAACTACTGCTCAGCGCTCATTTCACTCGCCACATCCGAAGCAATGAATATTGGGATGAGAGCCGGCATGGATCCACGACTTCTCGCACGAGTGTTCTCTAACAGTACCGCGCAAAGCACGATCTGCGACAAGTGGAATCCCGTGCCTGGTATCTGTCCAAATGCCCCGGCAAGTCACGGATACCAGGGCGGTTTCAAGATTCAGCTGATGGCAAAGGACTTTGGCTTGGCTGTCTCTACGGCAGAGAAGGTTGGCGCCAAGTTGATTCTCGGTGTTGTTGGCCTCAGGGCCTACAAGGAGGCGAGTCAAGATCCTAAATGTCGCGATCTAGATTCTCGTGTACTTTACAGATACATTGGAGGCAGTGAGGACTGGGAGGTGGATTAAGCTTAGAGCACCTTGGAGCAGCTTTGTCGAAATCCAAATATCACGCTTTGTTTCCTAATTTCCCATAACTGCAACCGAAGCTCAACAAACAGATTGCTCTGTGTCAAAAGGTTCTGCCCTCATCGATCCATTTCACGAAATGTCCCAATATCGCATGATGTTAACTGCTCCCGATCTTGTCCACTAGTGGCAACATCCCACCCTGCCCCCTCCGAGCTACAGACACTCTGCGACACCCTGGCCCCGTTCAAGCAAGGACATGCCCAGTTGACATCCAGGATGCTGATTCCCCACTCCAGTCTACGAGATGACGGCACGGAAGCAGAACCCCGCCATCATAATGCGGGGTGCATACAGATCTTCGTTCCGTGGTGATGTGGGGTCATGTGGAGAGAGAGAACTTCCTCTGATATGGTGTAAGAACATGGAAGGAGGCGGGGAAATCACATCCGTCATCTAAGCAGCCCCCCCCCTGTGGCAATGGAGTGGTTGAATAGGACTTTCATGTAAACTCGATTAAGGTGGAAACGATCTTGTGATACGTACTGGCAAGCTGAGCCCAAATCTCACCAACACTTTCCCAAATTCTAGGTCCCTCGTACACAGCCTCAGCCAACTACAGCTACTCGTTAGCGCGGGAAACACCAAGATGGCCGACAAGACTTCCGCGACTACTGAGAAAGAGGCAGCGGCTCACAAGACACTTTACGACAAAGGACTGAAGATCCGATATGAAGTCGCAGGGACTTCTTACGTCGACGCAGCTTTGGCCGGTGGTTCGTCTGACTTTGCGCGGCCGATGCAAGAGCTTGTCACAGAGGCTTGCTGGGGTTCGGTCTGGGCTCGACCAGGCTTGGAGAGAAAACAACGATCTCTTTTGAACATTGCCATGTTGTGCGCTCTGAACAGAGCCCCCGAGCTTGCAGCACATGTCCGTGGAGCGCTGAACAATGGGGCAAGTGAAGTAGAGATTCGGGAGACACTACTGCAAGCGGCTATTTACTGCGGAATGCCAGCTGGTATTGAAGGGTTCAAGGTTGCTGAAAGGGTCATCATTGCCTGGAACGAAGAGACAAAGAAGTAGCTAGTGGTCAGTCGTAGGATTACAGGCACCTACGAAATCCAGTTCTACGCCGGATTCGAGTACATGTTATCAAGTCAATAGCTGTGATCACTTGTTATGATACCAAATTGGCCCACAATTCCAATGAATCGGTGAATCTCTGCATACGTTCAGCAAATCTAGCGGAAGGGATTTGGCGGGTAATGGCCATGTGAAGTCAGCTCAAGTTCGTCTATGGGCACTCCCACTGTTCGATTTTCTCTGAGACTACTCTTTTGATCTGGTTGGCATTTCCTAGTGACATGGATCAGAACATAGAGTAGCAGAGTCTCGAAGCTCCCCGCATCTACTAGGGACTTGTAGTGGCTCCTCAGAAATAACCCCTGTCCCCCACATTATGTAGACACACACAGACGGGGTGGAGTCTGGTGCAATTCAAAGTCCAGCTCCCTTCTTTGAGACTCGTTCGTATTATTTGAAGATTGCATGAATGAAATTGCCCATCATTAGTTGACTGTTTACAGCACGTTACTCATTTAGCCAAGTCTTATAGCACATCTTCCCTCGATAAGATGAAACTCGTCAAGATTCAATTACCAAGTGTGTCCATCTTCCTTAACGAGGGCTCAGTTCATCTTAGGGGTATCGGCCTGGCAGTCATTCTGATTCTGCTTGGTTGTTATCTTCGCTATGTACCAAATCAGTTGACAGTGAGTAAGGTAACTGTTTTTCAATGAGCTTGAATATGCTGATGAGGCGTCTACGTGGCAGGACCCTCGAAGGAAGAAATTACCCCCCGGACCTCGAGGACTTCCAATCATTGGCAACCTCTACGACCTAGCAGACTCAGAACTGGTGCGAGAAAAGGTTCGTGAATGGCATCGCACGTATGGAGATATTTTCTATACGAAAATTGGGGCAACCGACTACATCTGGCTATCGACACCGAAAGCTGTGAAAGATCTCATGGACAAGAAATCGGCCATATACTCGTCGCGGCCACATCTCCCGCTGGCTCAGGATGTCGCGAGCGGAAAGTCTCGACAATTATTTATGGCCTATGGACAAGACTGGAGAAACCTTAGAAAACACAGCCACGCGCTCCTCAACTTGAACGCTTCGAAGAGGTACATGCCATCGCAAGACCTGGAATCAAAGGTTGTGCTTCACGATTTACTAGATCAGCCTGATGAGTTCTACACCATCAATCGACGCTACTCTACCTCTGTCATCATGCTAGCTACCTATGGCTATCGCATTCCTTCTTTTCAAGATCCGATTATCTCCAAGATCTTCAGCGTTCTGGAGAATCTGTCCATCATGATGGCTCCTGGGGCTTTTGCCGTCGAAAGCTTGCCCGGTCTCGCCAATCTCCCCGAGTTTTTCTTAGGAAATTGGCGTACCTGGGGCAAGAGAGCCTTTGCTCACGACAGCAAGATCTGGCTCGAATTTTGGGAAGCGCTGAAGAAGACCACGGACGACGGTACCGCTAAGGACTGCTTTTGCAAGGACTTTTATCTTGGTGATCCTAAGAAGAATGGTATCAATGACTTGCTCGCCGCGTACACCTGTGGTGGTCTAGTCGAGGCTGGTTCCGAGACAACGGCTACAACCATCAACAACTGGACTCTGGCTATGACTCTTTTCCCGGAGGCAATGAAGAAGGGCCAAGAAGAGATTGATCGTATCGTGGGAATCCACAGAATGCCAACATGGGAAGATGAAAAAGATCTTCCTTACGTTCGGGCAATGATCAAGGAAACCTTGCGATGGCGTCCTGTCAACAAATTTGGGATGTATCATGCTTCCACTGAGGACGACTGGTATGAGGGTCACTTCATCCCGAAGGACTCTGTAGTTGTCCTGAATTGGTGGTGAGTACCTGCAAGTCACTTGCTCACAAGAACATTGGCTAAACCATAGTGTCAAATGTGTAGGGCTATCCAGCGTGATCCAAGTCGCTACCAAAACGCCGATGTGTACGATCCGTCTCGGTTCCTCAATAGTCCACTCTCTGCAGCGGAATATATGAACTCGCAGGATCCCTACGAGCGAGATCACTTTTCCTATGGTGCTGGCCGGTACGTATTCCTATTTCGAGATCGATCACCGTAAGAGAACGGCATAGATGGCTAACATGTTCACAGGCGTGCATGTCCTGGGGTCCATCTAGCTGAGAAGTCGCTCTTTGTCGCTATTTCTCGCATTCTATGGGCATTCAATATCGAGCAGAAACAAGATTTTAACGGGACGAAGAAAGCCCCCACAACTCGAATGATGCCTGGCTTTCTGAGCGTTCCGGAGCCTTTCGAATGCTCCATCTCATGTCGCTCTGTGGCGCATGAAGAGATCATTCGGAGGGAGTACAGCGCATTGAAGGAAAAGGATTTCGAAGAGGCTCATTGAAAAGATCTATATACGAGAGTCATGCAAATTTTCTTGATGACAAGCATCTTGGGAATAGTGGTATCCGCATTGAAACATTATTAACGATACGTATGGGCCTCATTGACATATTCTGTGCTGTCGTGGCGTCCGTAAAAACTTCCACATCTTAATAATTAGCATGATGTTTTTGCGCAGACATTATGTGAAAACCTGAGTACCATTGTAAGAAGTATCTCTCCGGGGCATGCTTTAGGGGCTACAGGGCTTGGCTTAGGGAGTCCGTACTTTCCTAGGCTCCGGTCTGGCGGCTGCTCTGGACGCTGCTCCAGCGACGCCCTTCTTCGGGCCATATTGTAGCACTACTTACTTTTGCACCCTTTTCATTTCTTGAACCAAGGATTGAAGCAACGCTATCGAACAGTAACAGCCACCTTTCTGCTTTCAATTCATAATCTAGCTAGGGAATCAGTCTACGCTGTCCTTCTCTCATCTCTTTATCGAGTTCGGGTCCTAACCATAGAGGTTGAGTCTCGTCAAGCTTGTCCTCCAGGTCGCTAATGTTCCCGCCGTGAATGAAAAACGACTTTCCATTCACTTCCGGTCGCATAGCAGGTAATAAGCTTGCTGTGGCAACATCCTTTGGTGTATTCGCAGGTAGCTCCTTCCAGATGCTTCTGATGTGATCGGTGACCATTTCCGTATCTACAAGGTTTAGTTTCATGTGTATATTGACCATTGCTCAAACGGATGAGTGCGCTTACCTGTCATCCAAGGTGCAATCATATTGACAGTGATGTTCATCTTCGGCAACTGAGTTCTCATGGCGCGCATAAGACCCAGAACAGCTGCCTTGCTGGCACAGTATGTATAGCAGGGTGGTGTATCGAAGAAGCTAGCAGCAGACCCGAATAAAACCAGTTGAGATTTCGATTCAGGCGTCTTACGAAAGAAACCAATGGCACACTTGGTTACATACCAAGTACCAGCCATGTTGACGTTTAGCACTGAGATATCAGGCTTTTGGAGGTACCAGTCTGCACCAGAGCTGGGTTCGTCAAGGGTCTCAACCCTGTTGATTGCAGCGTTCGAAATCACGGTATCGATGGGACCAAGCTTCGAGTGCACGTCTTGGAAGAAGCTGACAAGATCGTTCCAGTCCGATATATCACATCTTTTGAAGAAGACGCTGTTGATGATTGAGAGTGAGCCAGAAGTGTTCATAATAATAGGTTGCTTCACAAGAAGGCTGTGGAGAAGATGCAACTCACTTTCCAAGCTCTTTCTGAACTTGCTTTCCTCGAGTCTCGTCAATATCGCAGAAGGCTACTTTTGCCCCATGCCCTGTCACGAAATGGTCAGCACAGCGCTAACAGCTCGTCTTCTGTTGCTTACGATGGGCGAGGTCGACAATGGCTCTCCCAATGCCGGCTGCACCGCCAGTAACCAATATGACTTTGCCTTCCAACTTCTGGAATTCTGAATCGCTAACAGTGTAGGCAGACATTTTTGCGTTGTCGCGGTTGCCTCAGAAGTCTACCTTGGATGGACCAGGTTTACCTTTGAAGCACCATCGCGGCGGCTGGGGCTGCCTCTGTTAATAGGTACGCAAACACGGCACACTGATATGCCCGAACTTCGTGCATACTCCACATTGATCCAGGCTGTCTCCAACTGGGGGCGGCCCTGAGCACAGCACAAAAGTGAAGGCACTCCAGATCTCCGCATTCGTGTCTCACTGGATAGAATCATACATGTACAGAATGTTTCAATTTGGTAAGAAATATCTTATTCAATTCAGTGTTACATACGACGGAGCGGGGGTGTCGTCCGATAAGTCCCCCGTTGCAGTCCAATGCTGTTGCTTGTGCTTTCGCGACTCGACTTCGTCAGAGATGGCTATGGCAAGATCCGCTGCCGAAATTCCCATCAACTTCCCGTCCAGCGGACTATCACCATCAGGTCCATTTTTGAGCGGCAAATTGCCCAGAGTAATCTCGTATTTGCCGGTACGTCTGCCGGGGCGATACAGAGCGCTCGGTGACACATATGTCCAGTCGAAGGATGTATTGCCCTCGAAAAACATGAGACTGGCTCGCGCAGCTTTGATGAAACTGCTCGATGCGTCTTGTTGCGCTTTCAGTTGAGCTTCGTAAGCGTTTATCGTCTGTTGGGCAGCCGCCTTCTCTCCCGTGCTTCCTAGGCCCTCTTTGAGGAGAAGACGAGCGTCGCGGTAAACTCTCAAGGCACTTCCTATCGGGCCAAGTCTTTCTTCCATATAAGTGACATGAGCATGACTATCTGCAATCCCACGGCGGTAGGCCAAGAAAAAGTCCTTGCTATCCGCAACGCACACGCCGTCTTCATGGGGCACATGCAAGCTACCAGTACCGCCGACCATCACAAAGTAACCTACTTTGGCACGCTTGACAGCCAGGATGATTTTTCTAATCATCTCAATGAACGGCACTATGATTTTTTCCTCTCGTCAGGCAATTCATTGCTACGAGCCACCTCTGAACAACTTACTGTACTGTAAGGCCTCGTGACCAGCTGTATGAGGCCCGTACTCGCACACCACAACCGCAAGATCGCTGATGGCCATAGCCAATTCTCCCTCAGTTGATGTTTCAAGGTTGATAGGCCGCGGTTCGTAGAGGTCATTACTGCCAAGTTTCTGTGGGTTGCGAGATAGTCCGATGACACGATGGCCACGGTTGATGAGTTCGACGACCAAGTAAGAGCCTCCGAACCCGGCCGGTCCGATCACCCCAACTTTCAAGCTTTCGTTATTCTTAGCCATGATGGTTTAGTTCGTGATCGGCAAATCTGCAGCTGCTGGATGTGCGTGTTAACAAAGACTGATAGAGGCTTTGACCCTCCCATCCTTCTGGACATCTATACTCGCTGACATTCAGGGCTCTTTACGTACACGTGTATTCATGTCACTGTCATTGTGCTAGGTCCAGTTGACTGATCACTATCCGTCAGGAGGATGCGGGGTGATGTGGGGGACAAGTTGGTTGGGCTGATTTGACCCACGTTAACTGTGAACTGCCTGTGAGAAGTGCGATGCGGGGGGCGCCTCAGAGGACTCTTCAATTACTAACATCTGTAATTGCATGCCCGAAGCTCAATACGGACGAAGGTATCGCTTTCTAGTAATACGTTCAATCTCAAAAGACTCTAGATAATTCGAAACACTATTCAGAGCCTTGGCGATACCGGAAAGATGGAGTTCAACATTGGATTCATAGGTAAGTCTCAGCCGTAGCCACTACGGAACGATCGCTGACTGCCGTAGGCCTTGGCGCCATTGGCTATCCCATGGCCGCATCGATTCGTCGTCACTTGTCGCGCCAATCTACCGTCTATGTTTTTGACGTCAATAAATCAGCCTGTGAGAAATTCGTCGACCAGTTTGAAAGCTTCGGGCGAGTGGAAGTAGCTGCAAGTCCTCGCGAAGTCGCCGCTGCAGCAGATGTAGTGGTTTCCATGGTACCCGGAGCACCAGAAGTATCGAAGGTCTATCTCGACGTCGAAGACGGGATTATCGCCGCTCCAAAGAACCCACAAAGATTGTTGATTGAATGCAGTACCATTGATACTACCACCGCACGGCACTTGGCAGATCAGATCAAAAAGGCTTCCCAAGGAACATATGTTGATGCCCCTGTTTCCGTGAGTCTCCCCGATAATCGATAGTTGACTCCATATCTTCGACCGACTGGAGCGATGGCAACAGCATTGTCTGACTCCATCATGTCCCAGGGAGGCGTACCAGCAGCAGAGAAGGGGACACTCTCCTTCATGATCGGACGCAGACTCCAAGATGAGGAAGATGCATTATCCCAAAGGCTGCGTCGGGTGGTGTCAATGATGGGCGACTCCGAAAAGCTCTTCTGGTGCGGTGACGTTGGTTCGGGACTTGCTGCAAAGATTAGCAACAACTACATCTCCTGCTCTGTTCTACTTCTGATATCTGAAGCAATGGCAGTCGGGGTAAAGTCAGGAGTAGACCCAAAGATGCTTCAGACAATTATCCACAACTCTACTGGTCAAACATTCATGGGAGATAATGTCTGCCCAGTCCCTGGCGTTATCCCACATGCCCCGAGCAGTAATAATTGGAGGCTGGGGTTCAAGACTCAAATGTTTCTCAAAGATCTTTCCCTGGGGATCGAGGCTGCCAAACAGGAGAATATTCAGCCGACCATGGCAGAGGCGGCCTATGGGGTATTCGCAAAGGCCGCAAATGACCCCCGCTGTATCGTAAGTAAATCGATGTGCTTTTTCTGGAAGTGAGTGAACTAACGTTCTTTCAAGGACCGGGATGGCTCTTCGGTGTACCTGTACATCACAGATTCGAAGACTTAAGAGGGATGGAGATTGGTAGACCATAAAAGATGACGGTTGCATGCTTAGAGTTGGACGTAGCAAATGTTATCCATTAAGTCTATATTTTCTAACCAGAAATGACCTATTGACAATCTGAGGTGGTGAATCAAAGCTTCAGTGTTAACTTGAAGCTTTTTCTCATCTACCACCAGTCACTCAACATTATGAAACCAGCCTAGCAAATAAGAACCACTGAATCATTCGCAAAGTAGGTAATGTGGAAAAGAGTGTGCGCTCGAACACCTCAACATCCAAAGGCTACTATTCTCGAATCTAGATTTCCTGTAGGAACTTCTTAATCTTGAAAATGCAGTCCTCTGCCGCCTCGGCATAAATCTCATGCCCTTGAGACTCGATGATCTCCAACTTTGACGACGCAACCTCACCAGCCAGCTTCTTCATGGATTCGACGCTTACAAGAGCACTATTTGTAGGCGATAAAATCAGCATAGAAGCTTTGATATCCCCCAAGTAAGGCTGAGCGTCCAGCTGACTCAAGAACTCGGCATACCCTGCAAGCCCTTCTCCATCACTGACAGCAACCTTGTCCTTCCACCATGCAAGGTAGTTGGGGTCACTACTCGCCACAGTGCCGCTCGCACCCAGAAGGCGTTCTGCCCAACCTCTGGATCCCAATTGGCGGCATGCCTGGGGCCAAGATTCCAAACCAAAAGCAAGAAACTGCTGCGCCGAGGCTGGCAATCGGGTCGGCGATGAACACACAATGATTGAGTTGACTCGTTCTGGATATTTTGCGGCAAATATTTCTGCAAGCATGCCACTTGTCGACTCTCCAACGAAGTGAACCTTCTCAATGTTGAGTTGGTCTAAGGTGTCCTTGATCTCGTCCACAATCGTGGCAGTTGTGTATTGGTACACTTCGTCGTCATCGGGGCCCGGGTAGCTTGAACCGCCGTGGCCTCGAAGATCGCGACGCAAGACGTTGTACTTTCTAGCTAGGGCCGGAACCCAATGATAGAAGTGATCTAAGGTTCGCCCGAAGCCATGTTGGAGTAATATAGTCTCAGCTGGTTTCCAAGGGTCGACGAAGGAGTCGAGAATGTATGCAGTCGTTTGTCCATTCGAGTGACGAATTATTTTTCGATTGTCATCGCCCATGGTTGATCAGGACTAGAAAAACCTCGTAAAGGGTTTGAAGATAGTCGGGTGTGTGATTTGGTCTTAAGCGTGCTGCTGGAACCATGTACAGGAGGGGCAAAGAGCAAGAGACTAACTATCATGAGCAGGGAGGCATCAGTAACGTATCCCAAAACCAACTGATGTTGTTGGCAACCGTTGTATCTTGCTGCGATGGCTTAGCCATATGACATACCTCATTTGTGTGGTAATGTAGTAATGCCATGTGGGGTAACAGACAGATCAAATAGTCTTCTAGCGCTGCGAAGTTGAGATCTGGCGGGGTAAGGTTCCGGGGAGCATGGTCACAGCCCGACAGCATGACCTGGCTTACGGATGCAATAAGGACTCCGAATGCTTGATTTGATACTCAAGCACATACACAATGAGCGAAGTCACTTTCAACTGCGTGATAAGCCTTGATCTATAGCGAATGGCTTGTGGGGTCTGGTGCGAATACTACATAATATCTGTTTATAAGTGTTCTGTGAAACCAATAACGTCAACCTCGAACCTTACGCGCTTTCAGAAGTTCAATCATCATTGTTGTGCATACTGCCCGATTGATCATTGTTCAACCCACAAGAGTAATTTTCACCTTACATTTAGCCTGAAAAAGGAGCTCTCCTAGTTTGATCAACCCACTTGCCTATACCAGGCTGTCCGGAACGCGGATTAGACTTTCACAAATCACAATGGACCCAAATAACTCGACCAACACTCTCACCCCATCGATCTACGCCCTCCTTCTCGTCCTTGTCGCCCTCATTTGGGCCTCAGTGGATGTCATCACAGAGACGTTCTCGTCTCTTCGGAAGTTGCCTGGCCCATTCGAGGCTCGCCTTTCAAGACTCTGGTACTTTCGACAAGTGAGAGACGGAAATTTTCACCATCGCAACATTGAACTCCACGAAAAATACGGTATGATATTTTAATTCTGTGGAAACTATGAGGTTCTCTCGCTTATAATACAATGCGTTGGATAGGTGTCATAGTGCGAATTGCTCCGAAGCAATATAGTATCAACGATCCGATCGTGATTAAGACGATTTACGGTATTGGAAAGGGGTTTCCCAAGGCACGCATGATCGAGCTCATGACATTGATTTGCCATCACTGACAATTGTCGCCTCTTAGTCCGCATGGTACGAAGCTTCAAGTCCAACTGGTGTTCCTTGGCAAGACCTATTTACGGATCGGGATGGCGCACGTCACGCCGCACATCGGCGTCTCGTAGCAAATCTTTACTCTGTCACCTCCCTTAGAGCAATGGAGCCCGACGTCGAAGACTGCTTGAGAGTTTATGTGGGGCGACTTGAAGACTTCAGTAAGACTCAAAATCCCATCGACCTTCAGTTTTGGATGCAATGTTATGCATTTGATGTCATCAGTCAAATTACGGTAAGTCTCTGCGCAAAGAACTCTCATCTTACTTCTTCTTACAAAATGCCACCCATGTTCCATAGCTTGGACAAAGATTTGGCTGCCTGGATACAGGAAGCGATCGACTTGGGATCTTCGCTGGTCAACACGTCTACCTCAAGTACTGCGCCATGGTTGGGATAGAACACGAGCTTCACGGACCTCTCACCTGGTTGCTGTCCAAGCTTCCTCCAGGAAAGTTGATGAACGCGGTCAACTTCACCGCTGAACAGCTGGACAAAGGTAGGAGCCAGTTTGAAATGGAGAAGGGGAGCCCAGAGAGACAGGACTTCATGTCCAAGCTTTTCCGTTTGCACCACGACAATCCCGGAAAATTCCCAGAAAATGCCGTCTTCACGACATGCATGACCAACATTGGAGCTGGTTCTGATACAACCTCTATATCTCTTTGCGCTGTCATCCATGATCTTGCGTCCCACCCGAAAGTCCTTCACAGGGTATGTTATTGTCGCCTACTCAGCTGAGTAAGTCAAAGCACCCACTTATGGGCCCCCCCCCCCCCTTTTGGGCCCCCCAACAAACATGGCATCAAAACATCGCCACCAACTACACTCAATTAATTAACTGTCTTCTACTGCCACAATAATACAGTCATTATTATCCCTAGGTAGTTCGACCCCTGCGAGTCGATTGGGACTAACTATACGGTCGCCAGAGTCCTCCTGAGCTCTCTGGATGTTCTAGATGTTGGCGAACCTGGTGTTTGGGTCTGTTGGGACAGTCTTCTTTTTCCTGGGCCTTATGCGCTCTATTTTTGCCTCTAGAACTCGAACTTGGTGCCGAGATGTGGCCAAGTGGTAGGCCTGCTCCCTAAAAGCCTTTTTCACCTTTCTGAATAGTAGTCGTCGAGTGCTATCGTCTAGACTGAGCTCTATGAATAGCTTCAAGTGGTTGTAGAGCTCGCTGGCCCTCCTGGAAGTTGACTAGTCAATAATAGACGTCGCTGATGCCCAGTCAAGTGTTTCCCTAGCCTTTCTAGTCGTCTGCCTAGTATCTGTGCCCTTTTTGGATGGTGTGACTTGGGTGGGTAGGACCATTGGGTTGGTAAGTGGCTTGGACATGTTAGGTGGCCATAATCTAGTTGCTTTCTACCTACTTCGTATATTTGACGACGTTAAACTAGCCAAACGAGCCTTCTGGTAGCAGCTCAAGAAGTACCGCTTTCCAACGATAGTAGAATTGTCTACTATATCCTCCTTGCTGAGCTCTTTTCTGTAGTGGGACTTGATAGGTCCAAAGATAGCTATATCTAACGGCTGGAGGACATGGGAAGTGTGTGGTGGCAAGAACAGTAAGTAGACGTTGTTTCTATAGCACTCCTACATGAATTCTGTCGTCGTATGACTCCTATGCCTATCCAGTACCAATAGTCGAGGCTGGTTCAGCTTGTTGAGCCCCCTAATAGGGGGGGTCTTAGTCTGTGGCAAGAATACTATTTTTAACTACCAAAGGGCAGTGTCGTCGGTCGTCTAGCCATTATCTGTTGCTGTGAACTCCTAACTAGCATATGGGTTAAGTTCAAGTGGAAACCATTGCTGTTGAACCGACTTTCCCTTGTATATGACTAGTGGTTTGATAGCTCTGCTATCAGCAGAGATATACTCGATAATTGATACCTAGGTACGCGAACCAGGCTCTTTTTTTTGCACTGCTGTGGCCTCTGCTATGCCTAAGACCAGACTATTGGCTCCCTTGCCCTCCATAATACCAGTCTTATCCATATTATACCTGTTGGCCTGTTGGATGTCCTTGATCTTTGGTATGTCGAGTAATCTAAACCATGATTTAATTATATCAGTGGTAGCTCTATTAATACGTCGCGAATTAATTAGACGACTTCTCTGGACCCTTACTGATGGATTCCTTTTAATAAAAGCGTCGATCTATCTCTTGCCAAGTGGTTTATTATCCCCCTGGGATCTTAGAACTCGCTTAGCGAATTCCCTGACCTGTTTATGGGTTGGTGCGACACCTAGGCAATGCTGAATTCGAACCCACTGTGCCAGCTGGTCTTCCTGCTATGGAAGAAGCCTCTGAAGCTCTGCGAATGCCCTCGCTCTCGTCTGGTGGCCTCTCCTTCGATTCTGAAGTGTTGCCCTGGGAACTCCGAACTTAATCGAGGCCCTCCTGATAGAGAGACCGTTCCTAATAGCATCAAGAGCCCGTTGGAGCTCATTTTCGGTATACGAGACTATTATATATCGATTGATAATTGTGCAAAAAAGAAATGCATTTGGACGATTTTTGCAATTGTTGTGGTGGTTTGTACATTGAGGGTAGGATTTTAATGCGGTGGCTGGGCGGGATTTTGGGGGGGCCCAAAAGGGGGGGGGGGGCCCATAAGTGGGTGCTTTGACTTAGTACGTTGCGCGCCTGGCTCGGGTGATGGTTCTAACAATATTTACAGCTTCGCGAAGATATCGATGCAAAGTTTGCAGAGCTAGAAAACCCTGAATTCATCCCTTTCAGAGATGCCCAAGCTATTAGCTATCTTCAGGCTTGTATCAAAGAGTCACTCAGACTACATCCAGCGACAGGCCTTCCGCTGGCCCGTATAGTCCCAAAAGGTGGCGTAAATCTTCTTGGAAGAGATTTTACCGAGGGTGTAAGTCCCATTGCTACGGCTTTAACAGACCACTCCAGTATATCTGACCTATTGCAATGGATATAGTGCGTTGTCGGCGTCAATACCTGGGTCTTACACCGGAACCGGGATATCTTTGGTGCTGATGCCAATGAGTACCGCCCTGACAGGTGGCTCGGCCAGGACAGAGAACACATTTCTCTCATGGAATCAAACTGGATACCAGTGAGTGACACCAGATGAATTGATACACCCAAATAATGACTCATTGACCTTCCCTTTAGTTTGGAATTGGTTCTCGTACTTGCATTGGGAAAAACATCAGCTTGCTAGAAATTAACAAGCTTGTGCCCACCCTGGTCAAGACTTTTGACTTCACGCCTTTGGAACCGGAACGGATAAGACATGAGAACTACTGGTTGGTTAAGCAGGTTGACATGTTATGCAAAGTTTCACCCAGGAGCAGCAATTAGGAGATTTCCATTCGCAAAGAAGAGGATGGATGCAGCGTATACATACTCATTGTGGGGCTCAAATCTAATGCTGAAAATTCACTTAGGCTACAACATCCTTCAAGCCAATTCTACACGTGCATTGTTTTAGTTTAGGACAAAGATGCTAGAATAAGTCAATAGAAGTAGATAAGCCTATTGCCCCAAAATATCAATTCACCTCGCTAGCCATGCATGCTAGGATGTCTCGAACGTGCCTGCTGAATGATACGAAGTTCTCGATTCGCCTTTCTATTAATCTCAAAACAGGAACGAAATAATGCCAAAGGCGACCGCAGAAACGAGCATCCAGTGATCTTCCAATGGCCTGCCATTGCCCCCGCTCCCGACACGGTCAATGAGCTTATTGCCAAGATCTGCAATGCTGCTTTGGAAGTCTTCATAATTTGACGCAGTCCAGTTGGCCCCGCTTGCTCCAGGAACCGCATCGTCACCCGTGAAAGCAATATACAAGACATCGTTGTCATCATGTCCTGAGTTGCCGTTGATGCTATTGCCATAGCATGCAGTGGCGAGTGATATTGACGCCTCTCCAACCATGGATTGAGGCCCATCATCACCATTTGTATCTCCCCAGATTCCGTACAGCTACAAAGTTTCATTAGACTCGAATCGCAAGTGGAGTGAGGTAGACTCGCCAGTTTGTTATTGCACACTACAGCCATTACGCTGAGTGGTCTGACACCGTGCTTTTCTGGATTGAAGGTAGGCCATCCGCTCTTCGTACCTTCATTACCGAAAACAACATAAGTATGTACCGAGGCGTTAAGATCTCGTCGCCCAGTTCCGTAACCTCTCAGCTGGTCGCGGAACGTCGTCTCAGATTGAGTGTCAGTGGAGCTGCCGCAGCGTCCGTCGCCTCCGGCTTGCTCGCCATCGCAGTCCACGTCCATATTGGCCAGCTCGCCATTTTTCCCTTGGAGATATATGATCTTGTAATCATCAAGGTAATCTCCGCAATAGCTAAAACCTGGTGAATGAATTCTGTGAGCTTCTTTTTGGCCTTAGCCGTTGAGGGGCTGAAGCACGTACCTCCGCTGTCACCCTCACTGCTGTGAAACCCGCTTGCTAGCACATGATGGCACTTGTTCCGCCCGCGAACGAAGTCATAAAAGTCCTTTACGTTGCTCGGAATATCGCGCGTTGATGCCTGTGCTGCTAGTAGTACGAAGAGAAGGAAGACGCCGCCTAATGAGACCATGATGAGTGTAATGAATTCCACCGATGAGACTGAAGAGAAAAGAATGAGGTGAGACGGGATGCTCGGGGGCAGGGAATCATGGGCGATGAGTCGCGTTTTGGTCTCCACGTGATCCACGGAGTCCTGCAGCGCCATTCAAAGCACTAGTTGTGCACAGCCCTCAATTTAGACGCTCTGAGATGAACACGAGCACGCCGGGGCTCTTGGCCAAGTCTCAAGCGACCTGACTGGGGTCTGAGAGAAGAAGTAATGGGATGACGGACGCGCGATTGACAACCAGGCATCAACAATCAGTGATTAAGTGAAGGATTCATGGTCCTCGGCCACGCTTGGTCTGTGTGAAACAGGCGTTCAGCCACTCATGGAATTGAGGCGCAAGGTGACTGAGAGAGTGAGACCTAGATTTCGGCCCGCTCCCCATGGCTTTCTGTCATTGTTCATATTGCGCCCGAGTCAATCGGAGCGCTGGCTATGGGGAAGCAACGACAGCGTTTATTTAAGCCTAAAGTTTAAGATGCCCCAACACCTCAAATGGTCTAGTGTCAATGGGAGAAAGGTTATTAATAATAAGGAGCTCTGGTTCGACTCATCAGCATTTGAAAAAAAAGGAAATAAGCGAAATGCTAGCATCACAAAACAGGACAGTTCCTCCCGGTTCCCTCTTGACAATGGCACGGATAGTTTATAAAATCGATGCTCTGTTTCCTCCTTCGAGAAATACTGTGCCCAGTAGCAGGTTTTTTGAACCGCTAAAGGGGTGCGAGATTCCGAGGAGGAAGAAGAAGACTCGGCATTCGCGATTCAATTCAACTTGGCAATAACATAACCTTACCTGTATCGCGCCGCCAATCGCTCAAGCATGGCTACCCTGAGAGCATAATCTGCCCGGCTGGACTGTACGTCAACTGAATGGCTGGCTAAGAAGATGATTTCGGTATTGAATCCACCTCAGTACAGACACGGCCGGTCAGCCCGTGTTGGTGCACTATGCCGCGTCCCATACTACCCCCGGAGGCTGTTGGAGTATGTCTAATACTTGTTGCAACCAACATCACATATCAACAAGCAAATTGCTCCACTGCGAGATGCCACAGGCCTGCATCACTCCGTTTGGCCAAGAAGAGGGGTAAGTTCCCTGTGACACCTGCAGACATATATGAGGAAGAGTCGTCCTTGGTAGCTTCGAGACCTCATGTTCCTTCGCGTCTTAAAGATCTATCATTAATCAGCATGGCTGAGAGTCAGACAGCCTCTAGAGCTGAGCATGACTCTGCAGCTCCGCTCATATCAGCATCTGTTGACAACCCTGGGCCTGTTGGTAACCTAAACTCCGGCGCGACAACCAGTCATGGCCCTATTCTAGAGGCCGATGCGGAGAATAGCGATGTGAGGGATACCGAAAGACTCATATTCTGTCGAAATGACAGCACTGACTTGTCCGCATAGTTGTCAGATGATAATTTCTCGGACAGAGCAACGGTAGGCAACCCCTTGCTAGCATGCTCCAAATTACTCGTGCTTTTTCGCGATCTCCTAACCTGCTTCAGAGCGTGGCATCTTCAAGCACGAGCTTGTCGAGCTCAATGCTTCAACATCGCTTAGAAAACGGGAGGACTTACCACAAGCACAAGGATGGGAGTGAGTTACCACTTGAGTCTCTTTTGTGTTGGCAATACGGTGTCTAACAAAATCAAGAATATCTTTTCCCAAACGACGAGAGAGAGAATGACAGGCTTGGTATGTGGTTTGTTGGCCCAGCCAGTACCGCTACTTACACTCCTTTTCTTCATGTTCGTTTAGACCTACAGCATAATCTTTACCTTTTGACCTTGGATTACAAGCTGGGTCTCGCTCCCCCGAACAAAGAAGGTTCGGGCGTCAAGCGCGTCCTGGACATTGGGACTGGCACTGGTCTATGGGCCATTGAATTTGCCGAGGAGCACCCTGATGCCGAGGTAGGGTAGTTCGCGCACCAAAAGAGTAGAGGCTGACTTGTTCCCAGGTTCTTGGTGTCGATCTGTCCCCAATTCAGACTCAGTTGTACGATTTGCCCGATTTCTTGGCTTCTTTACATCCGCTAATGCGTTTCAGTGTCCCGCCGAACCTGAAGTTTGAAGTCGACGATATTGAGCAGCCCTGGACGTTCAGTCAGCCCTTTGAGTACGTCCATATTCGGGGTATGACTTCCAGTATCTCAGACTGGCTCGGATTCTTCAAACAAGTCTACTCGTAAGTTTCCAATTTGTTCCGCATGTTACTATGATCTAAGCCAAAATATCGTAGTGGCCTTACCCCTGGTGGCTACATTGAATTATTTGAAGGCCATGCGCGCACCCAGTCGAACGATGGGACTTTGACACCAGATCATGCTGCTTGGCAGTGGGCGGACAAGCTCGACGAGTGCTTCAAAATCCTCGGCCGTCCATTCGTGAACGTTCCTAGTCTTGTTCCTATATTGAAGGAAGCTGGCTTCGCCGATGCAACCATTGTTCCATTCAAGTGGCCGGTCGGTCCATGGGCAAAAGATCCGCATTACAAAGAGCTTGGAGAATGGGCTCTCGAGAATTCTTCTCAAGGCCTCGAAGCCTGGACTATGGCAGCATTGACCAGGGCGCTCGACTGGACCAATGCAGAGGTCCAGACCTTGCTTACTCAGGTGCGGAAGGATCTGAAAGACAGGAGTATACACCATTACACCCCTATGTGAGTCAAGTTTTCGTCCTCCAATTTCCCTTCAGACGCTGGATTTTTCCGTAGCGCTCCGATTTGTAACAATCTTCAAGTGTACCTCCCATACTGACCATGGCAGGTGGGTTATTTACGCTAAGAGGCCGTTAGATGAAGCTTAGCTGTCGAGAACAATTCTTCAGACCATAGCTATGCAGAGTTAGGATACCAATGCGAAACAGTCAAGGTCGACAAGCAATCGAATGCAAATTCTCTCTCGGTTGCCTGTTCTTCTCAGGACGAAAACTCCGTCAGATCATGGTCTCCAGCCTTTAAAGCTTGTTGTATCTCTTTGTCTCTCCAACGAACAACTGCTTACCAAATAAATCGGCAATGACGAGTCGCCGCGTAATTTAAGTGTGCCCAAAATTCCCAGTGTCAAAGAACTTGCGTACATACTTCATGGAATGACAATTTGGTCTTTTTTTTATAAGGCAGATTGGGACAGGATCACTTGTCCTTGTCGCTGCGCCAGGTTTCCGAGTCATCGCGATACATGTACAAATTCGAAATCAGGCTACCAATCAGTCTCTCGCGATAAATTGCAACCCACAGGCCGACAACTCAGCCAATGAAATGAAGCCGCAAATGCAGGTCTCGGAGCACGGCATATAACATGACCCTGTATTGGAAGCTGGATCTGGCAGCTGAGAACATGGTGTCTAAAGATAGAGCCGGGGCAAAAGACGTTGGGAGCCTTACATCCTGCTGTTGCTCGCCAGCCTGCTGTTGTCCCCTTTTCCTCTTCGACATCTTGTCGACCCTGCTGTCATGTAGAACCCGAAGCGGTATGGAAAGGAGAGCGCTCCTTCAGAATAACAGAACGATGATGGCTGGATCCAAGGCAGATTCAGAACGGTGCGCAATCATTTCACTCCTTACCGATAACCGTATCTTGAGCTAACCTAATCTTTTGCAGTATCGCATCAGTTGCGCAACTGACCGCTGTGCCCAACGATCAAAGGGAAACACCGATCGAGTCACCTATGGCGACCGCAGCCTTGCCTAAAACACCTCCGAACCAACCCGCTGATGACAATGACCGCAACAATGACAGCCCCGTAGTCTCAGAGGAAAGAGCCGAAAGCTTCCAAGCCCAGCAGTTTGCCGACAAGACTACCTTGTCAGGATGGTTCCCACAGATAAAAAACGACGAACACAGTAGCTGGCGCATATGGTTTTCGCGGAGAAGCCGTGCCCTCATGGTCCAGATCGGAATCATCGGCTTCATTTTAATGACGAACCTCGGTGTGACCATTTTTGCTGTCAAAAGCTACGGGAGCCGAAATGGTGTCGGGCTGATATACGAGGGCGATTGCTCGACCGTGAAGAGGCTGGACCAGTGGTTGCATTTGCTCATCAATCTTTTGGGAACTGGTATGCTGTCAGCTTCAAATTATTGCATGCAACTACAGGCTGCGCCGACCCGCGAGAACGTGAATGCTGCTCACGCGAAGCACAAGTGGCTGGACATTGGCATCCCTAGTCTCCGAAACCTGAAATATCTCAGTATGTGGAGGCGATGTTCGTGGGCCTTACTTGCGCTCACCTCTATTCCCATCCATCTCATGTAAGGGTAATTTGCTTTCTTCCGAGATATTTGCTCAATTGCTTACATCTACCCCTTTGAGATACAACTCAGCTGTGTTCCAGTCACTATCATCACATAATTACACAGTCGTGGTTGTCAAAGATTCATTCTTGAACAATGCCACATGGAGTTTAAAGACAGCAGAAACCAACCGAGCCGGCGACTACGGCTGGGAAGACACGCGAGTCAACCCCTTGAATCTGGATTACGAAGAAGTAGTGCGTGGGATACAGAGCAATGCATCGATCTACGAAGAACGCAACGTATCAGCATGTTTCGACTTGTATGATGACTACTTCAATCCGCAAGGAAACGCGATTATTCTAGTCAAGAACGAATCTTTGCAGAATCCACCGGAAGACAGTCTGCTCATGTACGTTTCCATTGTTCCTCGCTTGGACGACTGGTCCAAGAACATGTGGGCTCTGGGCAATGGTACTGGTCACTTTGCGGCTTTATCACCTCCGAAGCCCGTGACCAAATGGTTTCTTGGGCCTCCGTATTATGAGGTGTCACGGTGTATTGTCCAGCCGCCAGAAGGCCTCAGCGCGAATTGTCGGTTTGAATATTCGCCTCCTATCATGTTCACTATCTGCATCATGAACATGATTAAGGCTTCCATCATGCTCTCAATATGGGCTCTAAGGAGATGGCAAAATCCGAAGAGGCAGGACCAAGAAAAAGAAGTCTTATACACGTTGGGCGATGCTATCGCTTCTTTCATGAGGGAACCATGCGGACAAACTGTCGATATGGGACTTGCGACGAAATACGACTTCTTGACTACTCGAACACCAAAGAACCGTTTCGTTCGATCTCCTCCTGCTATATTTCAAAAAGCTCCCCAGCCGAGGATATTTGAAATGAAACCAAAACAGTGGAGATCGTCCGCAAGTCTTAGACGTTGGGTCGTTATGTTAGCCATGTAGGAACGCTACTCTTGGTTTACTGCAATCTGCTTAGTTTTATTGACTTCCTAACAGGTGTCTTCTCGTAATCATCATCGCTGCTGTTCTTCTTACGATGTCGTTCGTAAGCCTAAGACAGCGAGGCTTCGGCGTAGAAATTCCACAATTATGGAAGTTAGGCTTTGGTGCCTTGACTCCTTACACTTACTTAGTCATTAACATGCCTCGCACTGATCCGGGAGGTCTGATAGCCAATGTGCTGCTGGCCAACCTACCTCAACTCATCCTCTCAGTCCTCTACATTGTCTACAACACCATGCTGAGCACATTTCTAGTCCAAAGGGAATTCAGTCGCATGTGGAATCCAGGCAATCGGAAGCCACTGAGAGTTTCCGAACCGATCGGGATTCAGCGATCAAGTTACTTTATTTCTTTGCCCCTGAGATATGGGATTCCCCTCTATGCTAGCTCAGGTGTCATGCACTGGCTGGTATCACAGAGTCTTTTCTTGGCGCGGATTCGAGCCATATCCACAAACGGCACTGACGATGATGTAAACTCCTTCTCAACATGTGGCTACAGTCCGATAGCTGTGTTTGTCAGTAGGTCTACATACTCTGCCTTATTTTGTGTCTGCATTTCTGACCTGAGTCTAGCATTGCTTGCGGGGATTCTTCTCGTTGTCATCATCATCGGTATGGGGTTGCAGCGGTACGATGGTACAATGCCAATGGTGTCGACCAATAGTCTGGCAATTAGTGCTGCTTGCCACGTTCTGGAAAGAGATCGGGATGGTGGCTATTTACTTCCTGTCCAGTGGGGAGTTCTAAATATGACTGGGGGTGTTGGGAAGTGTGCCTTCACGACAGCTGCGGTCGATACGGTCAAAGTCCCAGAGACCGGTCCAGGCCGAGTCTACAAGTGACGGTGCAGGAGTTAGAGAGGGATTGACTGATCATCTGATAAGCCCCAAAAGCGAATTCCGAGCCCAGGGGGTAAGTCCCAATGAAGTTTGATCTGAGAAAGGTAGAATTCACAGAATGCTAGCTCATTAAGATTTGGTGAATACCTCACAGGCACACAAGTGCTTCACGCTCACACCATCACCTTCAGTATCGGCGAATCGTGGTTCCAGCCAGGTACCGAAAAACATCAGGAAATCTCTACCTGAATGTATTGCTCTTTATTGGTTTGAAATCCAGTTTACTTTGTGACCAAACTAAGTCGAACTATGTGGCGGTAATATCAGCCTACTTAAACGGATGATTATTCCCTGGCCATCACCAAAATTAAGGTGATTTATGTAACAGAATAATTACAGCACTACAACACGTGTGCAACCTGCCTGGTTGAAATGCAACTTTCTTTTGAATGACCCAGTGCTTTAGATCTATTATCATACATTGATTGAGTCCGCGATGATTAAGGGACAGACAGTAGAGGGTTTCGATGAGAATACGTTGGGAAAAGCCACTGTCCGTCCACACCACTCACCTACCGACCGCTGTCTTCATCTTGGACGACGTGTAATTGATATTATCGGATAAACTCAAACTGCCATACTCGGAGACAAATTGGGTGAAGCCTCTACCCTTCGGATTCAGCATCTGGTCCGTGCTGAGTAGTTCCTCAGTCATGTTCATGTCATGCCCGAGGCATTGCTGCCATTGCAGGGCGGAGTTAAGCTTCCAGCAGTTCTGCTGACACATCGACACTCAGCACAATGAGACTTTTCTGATGACTAGACGAATGCCTCAACAGATGAGATCCCGCATGAAATGCCTAGAAAACTCTCTCCGGTGGGATCTCGAAAGTTTTCCCCAGTGGCGTGCTCACGTGTTTAAATCCTGAACTGCAAACTACACACCAGCCGAACGAGATGACTAGGGGATCACGAACTCGACGTGAACTATCGAGGTCCAGATCTCGTGTGGATTGCTAAGGCCTTGCGAGCACGAGCACTGGAGAGCTCCTGCGTGGAAGTTTGGCATCAAGGAACTCCTTGGACCCCGGCAGACCGTCGACATGTGCTCAGTCTGGAAAATCCACTATACCAAGCAGCCGCAATGTGGCTGCGTGGATCGCGGCCTTCTTTCTTCCACGGTGCCGCCATTTGCAGCTCGGTTTCGCTTCATCTCTTTAGTACTTCGCTTGCTCTCTTTAGTACTTTGGGCCAAAGCACATGGGCTTCAAATAAAGTATCGAGATTCCTCTGCCATGCAGAAACGGATCGTTGCAAGCCCTTGTGGTCAACCGAAGTTGCCGGTTGATAGCAAGAGTCTTTCGGGTAGTGCTGATCATTATCTTGACGTCTGCCAAGTCAACTCAAAGTTGTCGTTCTTGCCTTTGTTTATAGGTGTGGAGGGGCTCGGTGACATTTCGCTGAGCAGTTCGGAGGTCCGAGCCAACTCTATCGGGACGTAAGTAGTCTACGCGGCCACTGGTTGAGCTTCGGGACATGAAACAACCAGTGTGGAATCATAATGTACGTTAAGAGAAGCCACTCTGCTGATGTTGAATGAGAAAGTCCATCCCGGTTATGCCGCCTACTTCAAATGTTGTGACTAAGCCCCACTGGCATGGCCATGGAGTAAGTGCCCTGATGTCCGGGTCTAGGGATGTGAGGCATCTACGATGCCAGCGTTCTTGCTTTAATGTTACCTTAGCTAAAAGCCGGACTTCTGACCCTTACCCATGCTTCTTCCGGCGTCGAGACCGGCAAGGGTACGGCTTACGAAGCTGCTGGAGGGCGAAGCTGACAGCAAATGTTGAGTCTCCCTCTTTGTCAACTTCGGCCTCTCTTTCTACCTGCAGACAAGCAGCGGACTCCGCATCTAGACCTTATCAATCGGCATGAAAACGAGCTTTGGCTTTCGGTAAATGAAGATATGGCTCGTATGCGGCCCATCATGAGGGGCCTAACCTATCTAAAGATCCCTTGAGCAAAGCGAGGCTTCTTTTTGAATATGGGGCGAAGCTCGCGTATTCATGAGCTTGGTTGGCTCCCCACAGTATCGGACGTACGAGTCGTTCATTCCTCTCAATTGCTTCAAGAAAGCTCCAAGCAAGCTTTGGATTCGAAATTCCCCTGATGTATCCTAGGAAGTTTGTCTCATGAAGTGCTGTCAAGTAGGCTGTCACAAAGCACTGTTGCAAATCCTACTTACGGTTCTCGCACCACTGTTCGTCTAAATGAGAACTGAATCCATGGGTGCCTCACCCCAAGGTGAACAGCGACTGCAAAACGTGGAGAGGAACTCGTTTCCCCCTCACATCCGAAGGTCCCTCCCGAGATCGGATGATTGAAGTTGGTGGGCGGCTCTGCTTGACCATGCTTGCAGATAACTCTATTTTTCGGATACCTTACTCAGATGCTTTTCACTTGCGTGATATAAGCCTTCGTAGATCATAGCTCCCTTCCATGGGTGGCCTTGGAAAGTTATATGCTTTGGGTAGTCAGCGGCTGACTAGACTATCACCACACCTCGCGTTGTCGTGCAGATCTCGCGTTGCCGTATTGGCAACTCACGAGGCACAACTTATTCCCGAAGTTGACTTCAGCTGAGAAAGACTCAGCCGCGGATGACTTGGGCCAGAGTACGACTGTGGATGTTCGTTCCTATTCTACCGGGTTGGAAATTTGTCCAGTCTCGAGTATAAGTACGGAGCTGTATTTCCTAGTTTGCCGCCTTGTGTCCTTCTTCATCACATCCTCACCTTTCTTGGATTGACTCAAGTGCCGCCTCAATATCTCAACTTTCAACCTTTCTTTTCAACTCTTAAATCTGCCATCATGCATATCCCGTCGTTCAGACAAACCGCCACCATTGGCATGGCTTTCTGCGCCATTGCTGCTGTTGCTGCACCTGTAGCCCAGCCCATCGCTGAGCCAGGCTTTGAGTCAGGTGACATTGTCGAAGTAAGTCCTTGCTCTTCTTTCAGATCTATTTACTTGAAAAGGTTTTGACATTGTAGTAGCGTGCCCCTGAGGCAGCTGTAAGTGACTCCTGGACAGGCAAAACCATCGCCATCTCAGGTTTGTTCTGGGCCTTGTGCTAACAATTTTCCGACAATAACAGCCTAATGTAGATATGCCGGTAAGACTCCTTGTAAGCTATTAAAGATTTACAGCGCTAATGTGGCAAATATCAGTCTCTAAGCGAAGCCATCGCTGCTCGTGATGAACCAAACGAACTCGAAGCACGCGATGACAAGAAACAAAACAACCAAGACCAATACCATAATAACAGCAAATGCAAGCGCGGCAAGGGCGGTGGCAGAGATGAGGGCTGCGACTACGGTGACTACGGCAGCTACGGCGGGGGCAGGGGAGGCGGTGGACACGGTGGGGGCGGGTACGGCGGTGGTGGTGGTGGATACGGCAACGGAGGAGGATACGGCAACGGAGGAGGATACGGCAATGGCGGGGGCTACGGCCACGGCGGCGGCAAAGGCGGCCACGGCATCCAGGGCTCCGACGAGGCAAAGAGCGACCAGAAAGACAACGATCTCGGCAAGCGAGATGAGGCCGGTCTCCCCGGCGAAGATAAGAACAAGGATGGTGGAGTTGACATTCTTAACAACAAGGGCGGCGGCGGTGGATACGGAGGATACGGCGGCGGAAAGGGTGGTGGGTACGGCGGTGGCGGATACGGTGGCGGCGGGTATGGTGGTCACGGAGGTGGTGGCTACGGAGGCGGCGGCGGCGGCTACGGAAATGGCGGCGGATACGGAGGATACGGCAACTGCAAGGGTTCAAAGTGCGGCGGAGGCTACGGTGGTGGAGGATACGGTGGCGGAAAGGGAGGCGGCTACGGTGGTGGCTATGGGGGCCACGGTCACTAAGAGGGAGACGAGATGGGTCCCGACGAGAGCTGAGGTTCATCATCGGGATTCCTTTGGAAACCTCACGCCGAAGTTGCTTGGGCATCGGCCTTACAAACACCCTGTTTTGCTGCTTTTCGTCACCATGGTCTTGGTCGGGGGGAATTTGGCAACCAGAAAAGCTTCTGTCAGATTACATTCAGTGTATATACTTCAACAGATCTCATTTCACTTTGAATTTCACTCAATTGAACTCCTTGCCGTGCTCTGAGTCTCTTAGCATCATCAAATCAATGGCTCCGTGACGACTACTCTCCATTTTGCCTTTCAACATTACCATACATTCGCTGCAAGATTACTAGAAGTTATTTTGCCTTCTATTTACCCAGAATTTGTACGCCTGCCTCGTGTTGGATTCACTCGACTAAGATCTCCTCCAGCTCCGTGGAAATCTCATCCCATGCCGACTTCAACATCCTGCCTACACTAGCCCGTTGAACAACTGAAACAGCCTTTGATTCTTCTCCGTCCACGTCTCTGCGGTTGATCAACATCACGTTGACAGCCTCCCAAGGTTTCTGGCCGGCATGTCTCGAGAGCTCCTCTCCCGAGAAGCCGTATGCCTCTGAGAGAATAACAAACTCATAGGAGCACCCAAGCCTGCCCTTCTGCCGGTACCCCTTTGGCATCAGAACAGACCCAAGCCACTCGTCATCGCCTCCATCTTTCGGAAGTGCAGAGTGCGTGATACCGAAGCGAACAGGGTGCGGCTCCTTGACATCCGGTAACGAGGGCGACTTCAGGGCTCCGCTCCTGTCGTGGAGAGTAAGCCTGAACTTCCCGACCCTCGTTCGTAGTCGTAGGTGGAAGCTGTGCTGTTCTGGCTTCTCAGTTTTGTCCAGCTCGACCGAGACGCCCCAGCCCGCTGGACGCACTCGATCGAACGGACTCTCGAGCGCAGGTAGGCCGTTCCAATCGTCGAGGTCGTCAAATCGTACGGCCCCCGTCCAGCCAGCCCACGACCATGAGGGATAGAGGATGAGTGGCGGGTCAGATTTGTACTTGACTACCCTGCTGAGTTCCTGTCGCGGCTGCCATAACAGAGAAAAGGCGAGCAGATCCTTTGCCCAAGTACCCCAGACAAAGACGTCTTTGTATTCGGGCACCTTTTCAATGACGTTCAAGATACCCTTGAAACCGTTGACTCGGTCGTCTGTGTGACTCATCTCTCGTGATGTATACTCCGTGACCATACGATAGTAGAACTCAGACGAGATGCCCAGGCGATACTGGTACCGCCGGGTCAGAGAGGGAGGTGCCTCCCCGCGAGATAAAGTGATATTTTGCTGCGAGGCGCTCTGAGTGACGTCGTCGCGAAGCATGTTGAAGTCTTCACTACAGGTCATCTGGCCACACTGGAAATAGACCGTGTTATCCGCGAAAAAGACGAGCCTGCGCGAGAGGAGTCGCTCCTGGTAGGTCCAACCGCGTGTGTTCCAGTTAATCTTCTCAACGCCATCCTCGAAATCGGGAACGAGGGAGAGTAAGGTGAGCTCTGGTGAATACTCGGCGGTGTGCTGGCTTTTGCTCCTCTCGACCCCGTTGATGCCAGATAGTCGGGCATTTGCATCTTCACCATTGGCGGAAACGATTGTGAAAGAAGCTCTGCGATATATGACGTCCATCAGATTAAGTTGGACGTTCTTGTCCTCATCGTTGCCTTCCTGGATGTTGCAAAGTGAGTCAATCCACAAGTATCGGTGACCGAGAAGGGTCGTCAGCTTGATGGAGTCTTGAATCGTCTTGGGCAACTTGTCAAAGTTGTTGCTCAGTCCACCGGGGGTGAAGAGTTCGTCAAGATTGCTAGTAGTGAGTTTGAAATTCACAGCCCCGCGGCCCCAAACGTAGCTCAGAGCAACGAAGTCGGGGAGATCAGACGTTTTGACGAGGCAGTTATCCTTGAGGTCCAAAAGTCGGATAAATGGGTCGATGGAGCCGGCGGCAAGCTCGTCTTTGCGCCAGCAAACGAGGTGATGTTTCTCTTCGCAAGTCTGCAGCCATGACTTCAACAGGTTGCTGTTAATGGACTTCTCATCGATGAGTCTTCCTTTGAACATATCATTCTCGCAGTCCTTGGCCAGTGGAACAATATCAAACGGGGCAAACGCGTCCTCCCATCCTACCATCTCCGGAGCAATTCGTAACCTCAGCGTGTTCATCGTAGTCTTCTCTGTGCCCTTGGTATCGGTTCCCTCAAAGGTCACATCCGGAACCCAACAGCCCAAGACCTCTACGTCGTCTTTGTAGTTATTCGTAGAGACCGACGAAGCAATCATCTTGCAGAACCCGCAGTAATCGCTGCGCTGGATAACGTCTGATAGAGTTCCAAAGTGCCAGTCGGGCGGCAGCTCTTGCTCTTGAGGCCTAGGTGCAAAATCGGACTGATTGAGATTCATGACGCGGTGTCTGGAGCAGAGACGCAAGTTCGGGTCTTCGGGCGGGAGCTTGATGTCGCGATCCCATGCCCTTGAGGATGAGCTGGGTCCGGCTGTGAAGCCATTGCTTGCTGAGTCTCCGAGGTCGAGCCTCATTGTTGATTGGCGTTGCCTGTGGGGTGGTCGCGCAAGCAAGGATTTGATTAAGGGCTTTCGCAAGCAGCAGTACCAATGGAAGAATGATGATAAAGACAGAGATCTCTAGAAGTGAGGGCGCTGACATTGACGAGTATTTCAGGTCATTGATAACTGAGACCTACTGATTTAGCGCCGTACATGCATCGCGGGGTACTCAACTTGTGAGACCGAAACCAGCGGCCCGTAGAACCAAGACGAGGCGTACAGAAACATTACTGACGTCTGCTTACGGAGTTTGGCTCGGATGATCACCCGTCAATCTCAACACTAAGCTTCAATCAGACTTATCTGTCTTCTTGCCGGTCAAGCCATCCCCCAGCGCAGCAGCTAGATCGTCGATGGTCGTCCCCCGTTTCCTCCCCCCAACCTTCTCCGCGCCCAAGACGGGATCATCCGCCATGGCCTGATATAAATCCGCCATGCCGAGGAACACATCATTGTCGCTCTGAAAGCCGCCCTCAGCGCGGTGGGTGCCAGAGATCTCCTCCATCTCCCGCACCCACCGGTACGACTTGGGTGGCACAAGCGGTACCGACTTCTCGGCAAAATCGAGCAAGCCCGGCGCGGCATCCCTCATCTCCTTGCGCAGCTCGTCGACGACACCAAGCTTGGACGCTGTCGTGAAGGCCTGGATTGCCAAACCCATGAAGCCCTTGGTCGTGGTCGCGAAGCACATCTTCAACCCGCTGGCAGCGCCGACTTCGGGGGATATGTGGCGCATGTTCAACGCCTCTGCAAGCTCAGGACATGCTTCGCTAAGGGGATACTTTCCGGACGCCGGCATGCTAGGGACATACCATTGATCCGCAGCTGACGGGTTGTTACCGCTGTTGGGTTTGAGCTTCGGCGGCCCGCCAATGATGCAGCCGTCAACGAAGCGAATGGGACTGTCGGCCTCTATGAACATTTGGCTCATTTGCTTGCAGGTGGCTGGTGAGACGGCATTGAGGTCGGTGAAGTAAAGTGGCTTCTCCAGTTTGATCACTGTTGTCGCGTCGATGATGCGCCGGGCGATGCTGAGTGCATCTCTTGGTGGTGCGACCGAGAGGAAGTAGGGTCGCGATTCAACGAGATGAACGTCGGAGCTCAGGACTTCTACGTTGGCGCTGCGGGCTCTGGCGATTGTTGCCGGGCTGTCATTGAGTGAGTAAGCGTTCTTCTAGAAGTGAGATTGACTTCACTCTCACCTCCTGCCTTGACCGTTCGTGGCGACTGAGAAGCCTTTCGAGACGAGTAATTTGGCGATGCCCATCCCCATGTCTCCGATGGAGAGGATCCCGATCTTTGGGAGTGAGAGCGTCATGGTGGCAAGTAACACATGCACCGATATGCCAAAGTAGATACGATGTCAAGATACAGAGAAGGGAATCAATTGATAGTAACGTAACCAACAATGGCTGTAGATGGTAGCAAGCTATTGATGAGTGAGTCCGGTGATGATGAATGAGCAGAGTTGCGAGGCGGGCACCCCGGCAACTCTCGCCGATCGGAGGAGTGTGCCTAGCTCGGGAATAGTTACCGAGATACCCAGCACAGCAACCGCCTCAGATGTCATCTTCGATCAACCATGGTTTAACCAAATGAGCTATCTCCTTAATTCTCTCTCTCTGTTCTTCTCGTGTAGTTTGGCATCGTGTTTGGAGGGTATGGAGAGATTGAAAGATGAATGGGCATCTCATTGATCATGCGGTGTTGCACATGTTCAAAATGTATGAGGAGCTGCACGCCCTGTTACTCAGTGCTCTCAAATTGATTCCTGCCACCATCAACTAATCACACACAGTGCCATTGATAAGAATGTCAGTCGTCAAATCTTAAGAGAATCGGTCAATATGCTCATTTTTTCGGCTCAAAATCCAACCTCAAAAGCCCCTTGGCATTCCTCCACGCAATCCCCTCCCACTCATCCTCACTCACAAGCCTACTCCCCTTCAACTTATCCATAAACTCCTTCCCAGCACCATTCCCAGCAAACGGATAATCTACACTGAACATGACCCTCTCAACCTTGGTCTCCTGCAACAAACAAGCCATCGGCGCCAGCGAAAACATGCCGCTCGTCGTAATCCACACATTCTCATCCCACACCTGCCTCAGCCCGCGCTTTCGCTCCCCGCCTCCGGGTGCCGGCCATCTCGCCGACACTCCGATGATGCGCTCGAGCATGAACGGGAGCATCTCGCCCATGTGGCCGAGAACAATCTTGAGTCTCGGGAACTTGTCGAATACGCCGGCGGCGAAGAGGCGGAGAAAGTGGAGACCTGTTCGGGAGTGCCAGCCCCACCCCCAGCTCCCCAGCGCCTTTGCGATCTCGACGTCGTAGGGGCCTTGGAAGTTGACTTTGGACTCTTGCTCGGATGGGAAGGTTGGGTGGAGGTAGAATGGTACGTCCAGATCCTGTGCGGTTTCACAGAGAGGATGGAAGTCGGGTGTGTCGAAGAAGCTACCATCGTCGAGGTGGTTCCCCGTGAGTGTGCCCACGAAGCCTAGGTCCTGGACGCAGCGCCGGAGCTCGGCAGCGGCGGCGGCGGGCTCGTGCATTGGCAAGACAGCAAAGGCAGCGTACTCGGCCGGATGGTGGATGATTTTGGAGTGAAGATCATTGTTGATGGCTTTACAAATCTCGGCATCGGGGTGAACTGGTGAGTGGGAGAGCACCGTCATGGCAACGGAGTTGTCGGCCATGTCACGAAGACGTGCCGGGCCTATGTCCCCCAGCTTTTCCACAATGACGGGCCCGAACGTGTCGGGGCTTGGGGCCCCGCCTTTCTTGGCATCGAGAAGGGGAGAAACGTAGTGCTCTTCGAGCGCGATGAGGTCTGCCATGTTGAATTTTATTTAGATCTTGTGACACGCGTATCCTGTGCCTCCGTATGTGTTTGTGACAACTACAGCGTGTTTTACGATGCAGACGTTATGCCATTTCCGAGCCACAGCTAGTGACGTCCTTGCAGAAGGAGAAACAGCGAAGCGCAACAAAGCGTTCGGCTTTAGCAGCCCGTTAGTCCGCCCTCAAGGACATTGGGCCTTTGCGCTGGCCAATATACGTAGACCAAACTCAACTACCCATTACTTAGCAAGCTGACTGATGAGACGAGAAAATAGCTTGGAGGAACTGCTTCGTCGGAAGAGGCCTCGACTCGGCATCGAGACGGCCGTCGTCTCCGTCGTCGAATAGGAACAGAAGTTATTATTCAACCTCAAGAAAACAGACCTCCCCGTGAATCACGACGTCATTAGCGCAGCCACCGCTTTCTAAACCCCCGCTTCTCACTGCAATTTGATCTCCCCCAAAGGGAATATCGCCAGCGATGTCAACATCACAGTCATATCCAATAACAGCATTACTCAGCCCACCCTCGTCTTCACTGCAATTCAAACTGGCCTGAAAGACCTGAGATGAGATGCAAGAGTTGTTTACCTTGCGCATCGATTAAGTAGTCACTTTGTGTCCATCCCACCTCAGCCGAATCTGCCCGCGATCTGTCTGCCACCTCTTACGCATGGAAAACACGTGGATATAAATTACTGACCGGCCTTTGTGTCGATTCTGCCCAGTGACATAGCATCACTGGGGCACAGAAATTGAATTGCTTAACGACATTTCATTTTCCATGGACGACGGGTTGATATCATCGGTTATGAGGCTGAGTCTGCAGTTCGGGAGTTGAATACCCCAGTTACACCCCCCATGGTTGAGCGCCGCTTCACTGCAACTTTGACTCCTCCAAAGGGAGCCTTTCCACAGCGGCACTGGCGAGACAGCTTGAAGATGGGCGAATAGAAGAATTGGGTAGCCATTGCTACTTATACCAGGGTCAGTGTCTCGTCAAGATGAGGGATACTTCACTGTGATTTTAACCCCCCCCCCCCCCCCCCCAAAGGGTGTTATCTTGTTAGCTTAGTAAAACCCTGCATTGCATTACTGCATTGCGTCTTCAAAAACGCCAGTGGATAATATCTTAGTAGGTAAGTGCCGCTCAATTAGGGGCACGAATCAGCAAGGCCACAAATGTTAACTCAGTCGACCAAACGAGACCACTACATCGCATACAGAACACAAGGTGGAAATGCATAGTGCCTTATCAATAGCCGTCAACCTCCTCTGAACGAGGATTGCGGCGTACTAATGTGAGAAGCGATGCGTTAAACAAACAGGTCAGAAAGCCAAACCCGGGATCGGATCGGGCTCTCGTATGTTCTGTCCGGCGTCGAGTGCCGGCAGCGGAAGCAACCCTCGGATCCAGAATTAGTCGGGCGGCCTGTAGCAGCCAAAGAGGGAAAAGCGAGCGCCGGGTAAATAAAACCAATCGTAAGCCGACACGGGACCGGAACTCCTGTCTACGAACTCTCATCTCCGAGCATTAAACGGCAAGCCGGCACCATTTCCCGGATGGCATGCATGCATGGGATGGGGGGAACCCCCGGGTCCGGAACGACGATGCTGAAGCAGAAGAGAACAAGCCACGAAGAGCTCGAATCAGAGCGCAGGTCACCAAGTGCGACGGGAAACGGTGACATGCAGTTTGCTCACTGAATTGACACAAGAAAACGCATTATCTCTGAGCTTTCAGCATCAAATCTCAAGTGTCTCGACGGCCCGCTCCGATCGTGAGAAAAATTCTGCAGATGTTTCCACAAAAAGACGTAATGAAAACTAGGGAGAAGAAATTTTCGAGCTTAGGGATGGGATGGGTTGGGATGGGAGCTTGGGGCAAATATCCTCGCTAGTCGCTAGAACGCGGTCCATCACCAGAATTGTCGGAACCGGGCGGGAACGCCCAATGAAGCAAACCAAGGAATGAAATCCTGCGAGTCACCTTTCCTTTCGTTGCCCAGCTTAGCGCGGTCTGGCCTGCTGTATTGTCATTTCAAGGCGCGGCGTACAAGGCTTATTGGGCGTCGTAGGGCTGACAACAACAGGACATATGGCGCCTCTTGTTGGTGACGACGGTGGCGGTTGGCTGCGAGAGACCGCGGTGCTGCAACGTATCATGGCCGGGGTACACCGATCGTTTGGAAGGGACATGTCCGAGCTGGAGAGTCGGACTGCCCAGAGTCGAGACAGACTTGGTAAAGACCGACAAGCTCATCAACAGATTCGGTTGGAAGAAGCTTGATATCTCTAGCTGAAAAGGGACAATGGTGGTGAGAAAAATGTTCGAGAAAAATTCTACCCGTCCAGCGGCTGGGCAGAGCTTGCGGGTGCCGTGACTCTGCAGGAATTGGACCGTCCTGATTGGCTATGCGGAAAGAAAAATCGGAGATTTTCCAAGCAAAAACAGCAGAAAACGAAGGGGCTCGGTCCAAGCTCGGTGGGAATCGGGTGGCGCGAGGGCGGCGGCGTGGAAGAATCGATCCTTTTGGTGACTGAAAGCCAGCTATGCTGCCATGGGAATAGACACGCTTATGCCGGCCGATCGGACGAACTGCAGGCGGCGGCGAGGGCGTCGACTTGCCATGCAGCGGAATGGCATGTCATTGCTGGCTTGCTTGCTACAGCTGCTGATCTCCACGCTCCATTTCCCACATTGCTCTTGGTCGACAGGCAAACCCCCTGGTCAACGCCGTTGTTACCCGTGGCCGGCCGACTCCCGAATCGCACTACCAGGGCGTGATGGAGCATTGGGAGCGTGAGACCATCGCGTCTCCATCGGCCAACCCGCAACGAGCGAAGCCAAGGAGAGGGTCTCGAGCGAGGCCTTTGTGTGTGCGCCTGCATGTACGTGCGAGTGTGTCCAGCCGCCAGCGCGGTCCACTGCTCGAGATTTTTCCATCCATGGTCACCGTTACCGGTCGCGATGAGTCGACGCGGAGTGGAACCTGTTGAGTAAGAGAAGGCCCGTATTGTATTTAATCATGCCATGAGCTTTCTGTTCGGGGCGGAACCTCTCCTGTCGTCCCCCCAGGTTTTTGTTTGCACATGCGTCCGGTGATTTCTGGAGAAGCGAATCAACAGGCTTCCTTCGTCCCCCCGATCCTTTCGAGTGTGCTTATTGCTTCTGGCCTCGGTCGAAGAGACTCGTCGCTCTAGTCCGTGAACGAACCTTACCCCGTGCCGACTTCGATACACCAAGCCAAACATAGCCATCACCATGTTCGGCTCCAAGGAAAAGGCTCCTCACACGAGTGAGGGTGAGGTCACTCCCACCAATGCCTCCAAGACCGACTTGGAGAATGGCGAGACGGGTGGTCTTCAGCGAGACCTCAACAGTCGTCACCTGCAGTTCATTGCCATCGGTATGTCACTTTGATCGAGTCTTGCCTCGTACAAGGGTCGCAGTTTTTCTGACACATCATCGTAGGCGGTACCATCGGTACTGGTCTTTTCCTTGGTAGCGGCAAGGCCATCGCGACATCCGGCCCTGTTGGTTGCCTGATCGCCTTCATCTTCATCGGCTCCATCGTCTACTCCGTCATGACGGCCCTGTGCGAGATGGCCACCTACATTCCCGTCCCCGGTGCCTTCACCTCGTACGCCTCCCGATTCATCGACCCCACTCTCGGCTTCGCCATGGGCTGGATGTACTGGTTCAGCTGGTCCATCACCTTCGCTCTCGAGTTGACTGCTGCTGGTGTCATTATCCAATACTGGAACGACAGCTTGAGCATTGCCATCTTCATCAGCGTCTTCTGGGTCGTCTTCACCGCCCTCAACTTCATGCCCATTCGCATTTTTGGTGAGGTCGAGATGTGGTTCGCCAGTATCAAGGTCGTCACCATCGTCGGCTTCATCATCTTTGCGATTTGCATCAACGCCGGCGTCGGCCAGCAAGGCTATCTGGGCTTCAAGTACTGGGTGAGCCCGGGTGCGTTCAACGAGTCCATCATTGAGGGTTCCGTCGGCAAGTTCATTGGCTTCTGGTCCGTCTTGATCACCGCCGGTTTCAGTTTCCAGGGTTCTGAGTTGGTTGGTATCGGTGCTGGTGAGACAAAGGACCCCGAGAAGAGCGTTCCCAGTGCCGTCCGCTGGACCTTCTGGGGTATCTTCAGCTTGTTCGTGGCAACCATCTTCTTCGTCGGCATCATTGTGCCATCCGACAACCCATCGCTTCTGCTCGACTCCCAAGATGCGTCGGCGTCTCCCTTGGTTATCGCTGCCAACTTGGCCGGTGTCAAGGTTCTCCCCGACATCATCAACGCTGTGCTCCTGACTGCCGTTCTCTCCGCCGCCAACTCCAACGTCTACTCTGGCTCCCGCATTCTCGTTTCGCTCGCCAACGAGAGGTGTGCTCCTCAGTTCATGACCTACACCAACAGGTTCGGAACTCCTTACTTTGCAGTTGCCACCACATCTGCCGTCGGTTTGCTCGCGTACATGAACCTGTCGTCCAACGGTGGCGTTGTCTTTGACTGGCTTCTGAACGTTACTGCCGTCGCTGGCTTCATTAGCTGGTCATGCATCAACATCTGCCATCTGCGCTTCATGGCTGCCCTCAAGGCTCAGAACATTCCGCGTAGCACCCTGCCTTACCTTGCGCCACTGCAGCCTTACCTTTCTTGGTACGGCCTGTTCTTCAACGTCCTTATCATTCTGACCAACGGTTTCGCCGTCTTCATCGAGTGGAGCACCAGTGACTTCTTCACTGCGTACGTCAGTGTTCTCCTGTTCCTTGTCCTCCTGGTAGGCCACAAGATCTTCAACCGCTCCATGCCCCTGAAGGCCATTGATGCCGATGTTACGAGTGGGACTCTGCGATCGCAATCATGAGAATTACGGGTGACGAAATGAATGAGTTAGGAATGGAGGTCAAAAAGTAATCTGATGTAACATTAGTAGAATAGTTGTAATGATGATACCCATGAGTTCAAAAAATGCAGCGTGGTGATGACTCCAAGTGATTGATGAGAACCTCCGTTACGCTACAGATAACGACCAGCCAAGAGGATTCTGCTTTGACTTTGAGAATTAAACTTGAATCAAGAAACGATGCTGTAAAGACCAACGGCACCACCAAGACCGATGGCAATTCCCCTTCCGAGATTGTACAACCCCCATTGATCCACGAGAGACTTGGCGCCCTCCTCTTCTTCCTGGGTCAGACCAATGGCCATGATGCCCATATCTTTGGTTTCCTCGGCTTTCTTGAACAGCTTCTTGTTGATGCTGACCATGAATAAGCCAGTCCAAGGGACCATTGAAAAGCAAAGGGCACCGGCAGCGGCCAGTAGCTTCGATTTGCTGGGCAGGTGGCGCACGGCATAGGCCATGTACCAGTAGCTCAACGCACAGAAGAGGGTCGGCAGCGGGAAGACCCGACTGGTCCGCTTGAACATGTTGGACCACTGTCGTAGCATGAGAGGAGTCGGCGATTCAAGGAGACGGGGCACGACAAAGAAGGAGAGGCCCAGGTTTAGGCCGGCGAGGGTTGTGTTGAGGAAGACGGTCGACGTCTGAATGTTGCGGAGCGGGTTAGGTTGGGAGGACATCTTGGAGATTGTTCCGCGGATCAGTAGGGTGCGGTGCTGTATAAAGCTTGGTTCGAGCCGGTTCGAGGATTGTTTGTGATAATGATGCTGACGTTCGAAGGAAGAGGAGAAGATGACACCGGGCGGTTGAGGAGGCTGAGAGTGGCAAGGATGGAAGGTTGTGCTCGAGCTCGGGCTCAGAGGCAGGAGCAAAGTCCGGGCGGTCCTGCAGCGCGGGACACGGGACGCGGTGGGGTTCTTGCCAAGTGGGGGATGACAGTTCACTGGCTGCAGGCAGGTGCAGCCTGCAGGTCACAATGTGGCAGTGTGGGGAAGACCGAGCCTTCCCTCCCGCTAATATTATTCGAAAGACCAAATTGGGAAGGAATGAAGGATGCATCGGGGTACGTACTTGATGGACCGTGATGCTCAAGTTCAATCCAACGTAATTAAACACAACTTTACCTCACTCATTTACACGACATGGCGGGCCTGTGTTAGCTGATACCAACTACAATTCAGGACTTACATCCTTACTTTCAAGGATCTCTATCTTGTTTGTGATCCTCTCTTGGAGGCGTGTTGTCTGTTCAACGTCCGTACCATTGAGCTGGAACATTTTAAATGGCTTCCACCGCGGATCAAATCCACCATGGTGTTGCCTAGAATGACTGGGCTTTGTCAGACAGCTTAGTTTGAGAGCTCACAACTGGCTCCGTGAAGTATCCGAGCGATCATCAGGAAGACATTTCTCGGCGTCAGCCACTTCCTGGAAAAATAATGTAGGCAGCATCATACTAAGTGTCTTGAGATGGGCCAGTACTTCGTGTCCACCATACAACATAACTTGGAAAGGTTGCCTTTTTCTTTTGCGAAAACCTTCACAGCTAGTCAGAATATCCTATTCTGCTGGTTCATATCGGAGACTAACACCTTGAGATGAACATGATCGCCAACTTCCAAGGCGAAAGACCCAATATTCACGGGACAAGAAAGAACTTGACTTGCAAGTTACCGTGAATCCTTCGCCTTGGGAGTTATGCCTCTTTCCTCTTTTTCCCCCGAGGAATGCAAGTGCTTACACCGTAAGCAGCTGAAAGTTATGGGGAAGGGTGATCTCCACTCTTTGTGTTCTTTATCGCATCAATCATATTATGAGTGGGTGTAATAGCAGGCAACCGGAAAGTTTCTTGGTTCCTAGTCGGATAAGCATAAGTGACAATGACTGCCGTTCCATTCAAATGAACCCACCGTTAGCGTCTAATCTTACGAAATCATTTATGGATTTGTTTGAGGACTCAAATGATACGTCAGAAGGATTCATGTGGGCATATGGATAGGATTAGCATGCTGGCTACTCAGCCATTCAGAGTCTCCAAGGCGACGTCACTATCACCTGGTCTAATGATTTGATGCTGTCTTGTAAGCTCTATCAGTGAGATAGTAAAAAAAAAAAAAAAAAAAAAAAAAAGGAAAGAATGGCCGGCCGAACAAAATAATTACCTATATAAAGGTGTATGAACCTGCGCAAGAACAATATATTCATTAAGCCAACTTAACAGCTCCCGCAGCGTCTCACTCCATAATAGCTTCATTGAAACCCCAGCTCGCTATCTTTATCATCACAAGACCCTGAACCCTCCAGCTCAATATGCAGCTCAGTCTCTCTCAGATTGCCACCATGGCAGCGGTCTTCGTCTCCAACGCTGCCGCTTGGAATGTCGAAATCTTCACTAGTGATGACTGCAGCGGCGGCCCAACCATGATCACTGGCGACCTTCCCAACGTCGAGGAATGCATCCAGTTGGACTCGCTCTCAGTCGACGTCAAGAGCGTTTGGTTTGACTACGACGAGACGGACGTTCCGCACAAGGCCATTCTTTACGACGCCCCGAATTGTCAATGCAGCAATGTCTTGTGCCCTATCACCGAGTCGATCGCTGGTACTTACAACTGCGCAAGCACTCATTTGGGCCTCGGGGTCAAGAGCATTGGAGTCGTCAAGATCCACCACTAAGGTAGAGTAGCACACTTTATGCTGAACCACTTTGCAAACTTCTGAGAGAAACTAACACAGAAAGTAGGCTCACGTGTAACCCACAGTGTCAGTCCAGGGCACTTCCGACTGTGCCCGACATGTGTTTCCCCCGGACGCAACCTGGGAAAAGGAGGCCGAGAAGCTGAGTTGATGACCAGATAACGGAGATGTTGAGCAAGCGGTATCAAGTAGAGTGTGAGATCTGTATTGTAAATTTCAATTGTCAGGTTCCAAGTCGGGTGCCTTCGACAAAGGTGTTTCAATTCTAAGCTTGTGATAAAAGAAATGGGATCTACCTTGGCCAAGCAGATGACTGTGTAGAGAAACTGAATGGAAACACGTGAGGATTATTTGTCTTCCCCTCGTAATCCAGAGAAGATCTCTCATCCCGCAGAAACATTGCTTCTAATTGAAACTTGTCTAACAAAGGTTGCGAGCTTGCAGGCGCGCTACTACAAGAACGGCCCTGCCTAGCATTGTAGTTCGTATGTAGAGAAAGTAAAATTTGTAAGTACATTGAGACTTCCAGAAGCGCAACGATTAAAGTCTCTACGTGAGAGCTTGGAGAGCGCTCCCCTGGCTCATGAAATTGCGACGCTCAGGCTACTTACGGCAAAGTTTACCAGTCGTCAAATTGTAGTCCCACTTGTGACTTCCGACTCCCGACCGAACATAGAGGCTAGCAGTGGGATCATACTTATCCTTGATCTCAAGCAAGCGGTCGTAATTGCCACCGTAAAAGTCCTCTTGGAAGTTCCTGTTGAATGGGTTGGCTTCGTTGATGTACGCGCCTGTCCCCGGTGCCCAATTTCGCCACACTGCTTCCTTATTCTCTTCGGCCCAGGCCGCAGCAGTGGCCAAGGCGTCCTGCGGCGCAGAGTCCGTCGTGTTAATGTATGTTCCAGAGCTAATGAGATGGATGTAGGCGTTTCTCCAAGCAGGGTTCAGTGCGCCTCGCATGCCCGCCTCGACCTGACGGGGTCCCAGTCCACCCTGAAGCCCATACACCAGTGCAGCAGTACCTCCCTCCACCTGAGACTTGGTGATATCCTGCAGATGGGATCGAAGTTGCTCCAGGGGAATATCAGTCAACTCGCTGCGGCCGAGCAAGCGACTTGAGATGAGACTGATCTGTGCCACCGGAGTAGCGGGGTCGTTGAGATCGTCAAGAAATGAGAGGTACGTAGAGAAAACAGTCGGTTCCGCGACAACCACCGAGAGCGTGCCATTTCCGCTCTGTAACATGCGTGCTTGGATTGGATTCAAAAGAGAGAGGAGATCGTTCGCCGTGGTGTTGTAACCGAAGAAAGTAAAGGTTGCTCCGATCCCTTGAACAACGCCGCTGGAAGATGTCGGGGAAACATTTGACGTTGCCGCGTTGCCAAAACCCGCTACGCCAGCATCCATCAGATCCAGAAGAGAGCTGGAAAGCAATGCCATGGCATCCCAAGATGCGGCGGCAGCATATCCAGTATCGTTTCCTCGCATGCTCAGGGACAAAATTGTCTGGACCACGTTGCTAGGGGTAGGGTGTGTGCGCAGGACAAATTCCGTGACAATTCCATAGAGGCCCGGTCCGCCGCCTCGGATAGCCCACAGCAAGTCTTGGTTCTGAGCCTCATTTGCCACGAGAATGTCTCCGGTTGTCGTAACCACTGTCGCCTGGAGGACCTGGTCAGCGGCCAGGCCGTAGTGGCTCGAAAGGGGGCCATGACCACCACCGCCGATGAAGCCGCCGAGGCCGACTGTCTTGACCTGGCCGCTGACAACCGTTCTTCCTGTTACGGCTGTGGCCTCCAGAGCGCGTCCCCAGTTGTTTCCGCTTCCAAGAATAGCGACGTTTTCTGTCAGGTTGGTCGATGGTCGTGGCCACTGGCCATCCAGCTTGATGCTTCGAAGCTGGTGAGTCCAGATTGACAGTGAGTACGCACCGCTTGATCTTCCAAAGTGTTAGTTCGCTACATAGCAGTCATATATGTGTTTCTTACACACCTTCCGTTGAGGTCGTGCCCGGTTCCTTTGGCAATGATGCGAATGTTTCGCGCACTAGCCCACTTCACAGCTGTTGCGACCTGTTCGGCAGTCGTAGCGTTGAGGATGAATTCGGGCAAGCCTCCAAGTCTACATCCATCGTTCTTGTATGCGTAGTCGCTCGGAGGCACACAGGAGTTGTTGGCCCAAAATGGGTAGTCGATAGATTCCGGAAGGCTTGCATGGAATGCGGAGGAGGACCAGCCGCCATCGACGGCGTCGCAGGTCAATGCGGACGAGAATGGGTTGCCATCATAGCAAGATGATGCTACAGGTCGGGTTTTGATTAAAGCACCCCCGACAGACTGGTTCAAGGCAGTCCAGTCGCTATCCGTCGGCCAGGTCGTGTCGTGTGGCGTGGTTTTACAAAGCGAGTCCGCCGAGACGATGCTCGAGAGGAGTAAAGTTGCAGACAAGTAGTGGGTGAACATTTTGGTCGTTCTTTCTTGAGTTGGCTGTCACCATAAGTCAACTGGAAACGATGGGAAACCTGGTGTAATAAGTACTCTATCGAAAAATCATGAGATGATCTAGAAGACTGGCAGTCTGCCCGTAATGTCTACAATATCACTTGATGCCTGAGTGAGCCTGATACACGTATAAATATAGAAGGTCGTGTGGGTAGCTAAAAAAGACCAGTCGGAGTCCCCGGTGGCTCTCGCCGCTGGGCACTGAATAAAGGTGCACGTCGCCTGGGTATCCATCACTGGTCCCAGTGTTAACCGCGTATTGAGAATCGTCGTGTATTCAACTTCTTACTTGAAGAAGTTGAAAGTTGGACTTCGAAATGCTGACCCTAGTTGTACCCCTTTCCAGCTCACAAGGTTGGAGCGTGGCTGAGTGAGCCGTTGCAGATCTAGCCTGGCTGGACAAGATGCCGAACACACGTTCTCGCAGTCCCATCCGTTCCTCATTACGGCGGCTCATCTCGTCCAGAGCATCGGAATTTCGAGATTATAGACCAATCATGAATATATGAATGGCAGCTTGTATGACTTGGATTCTAGTGAATCCAAAACTGTCAACCGCCAGACGGTCAGGTTGACTCGCCAAATTAAATCCTTGAATGCTCCAGTAGTGATACAGCTGACGACTCTCGCGTTTGTTATGCGATAAGGCAAATGCTGGGAAGCTCAACGCCAGAAGTCCAAATCCACCCAAGAGGTTTATGGTGTTCCCGCGCGAAGTATGATCAATGTTCAACTTTCAAATAAGGTACTTTGAGGCGGAGATTCAGCCATTATCAACTAGCTTGCGACCTCGTGCTAAGCGCGGCCACCATTTGCGTGACCCTGCAATGGATAACTACCAGTCCCAATCGACAGAAACTCTTCATCACCCTTCAAGTTTCCATCGTCCTTCAGTACGCTGCTCGGATGATACACCGAAAAGACTATGGAAACTACGGTCATGAGAAGCGCGTCCAGTACATAAACGTAAATCTCCTTCTGTATCAAGCTACCGTCATGGCCTTGCGCATATTCTATCATGCGAAATATGGAGCGAACCATGATGAGCAAGCTCGAAAAGTAGAGCACCCAAATGAACTTCTGCCAAGAAACGTATGTATGCAGCGATTTCGTCGTTGATTTCAAGGTAATTCGAATGTGGAAGACGGCCGTGACAATCATGAAGAAGCCAAAGAAGACGACTTGTATGCCCAGGCCGAGAAGAATGACGTTATTGCCCATGTTTTGGGATGACTCGGATTTCGCAATTGCAAGGAGACCGCCGCCTGGGATCGAAAATCAGTTTCTCTTTCTCAAAGTGCCTGATAGATTTGAGGCTCATGAGATGATGGTGGAATATCAGGCGTGGGACACTTACCTCCTCCCTGCCCGAAGATGGACAGAATGTCACCCATGAGGAAGAACTTCGTGAGCCATTTGACCCGAATCAGGGAATACGAGTTTGCGTCAAGATTGCTGATCAGGCGACCAAGCACCATGTAGATCGAAGCGGCATAGAATGCAGGGCCCAAGAGAATGAGCATACTTTGTCCGACATATGGCATCAAGGTCCAATCTGGGGTCTGCTTTGCTGAATAGCTTCTCGCAGCGTATCCTAAAGTTTCGACTAAATTCAGTCAGATTACAATCTCAACCAAACAGAGGGCGAGTCTCCTCTTCCAACAATACTTACAGAGGCATCCTACGATGAAGGGAATGAAGCACCAGGTCCTCGTCTTGATCAATAAGACCAAGTGACGAGTTGATAAACCACAGAAAACAACGGCGAAGAGAATTGCTGCAGCGAACGAAGGGTCATAATAGTACAACTTGAAGCCAGAGTCGGCTCTTGACTGTAGAGTGACGGACATTGTAAAATAGGGCAAAAGAACGGTGTGCCTAGAGAGGTCCAGGACATTTTATCCTCTTTCAAGTGAAAACATGGCTTTGCAATGATACTTAAAGCACCTTTTCAACTGGTCTCTGATTGAGCACCCCAGTAACTGTTGTTGAAAGCTTCAGTTACTACTTCTCTGTCGCGTCATTGGTCGCACGGGTGACTTGCAAGTCTGCATCTGTAAAGAGGTTGATCCGCGGAATGGTGGATACACAAGCGTGTTACTATGGCACGAACCCGCGAGTAAGGCAAATCAGGCAGACACGCCATCTCCAGACGTGTAAGGCGGGTAATCATTGGACATGGCCCTTCTCTAGCCCGCAAAGCCCCTTGTGCGACAAGGAAAGAACCGTTCCGCGTGTTGGCGGACTATGGTATGACAGATTGAATCCGCGGGTATCTGCTCCCGTCAATACGTTGAATGATGAAAAGGGCTGTGTTTAGAGCTGTTGACTTGGCAAAGATCGCCGAGTATCAATGAACATGCCCTTTACGGGTGTGTGGCTATGCCAACACGCGCGAATGAATGGATAGTACGCTGTTCAATCTACCTTAGAGATTGACTCTGGTACATACTTCATTCACGACGGGCTGTCACTGCGGAGCATTTGCAAGGCGACGGAGGTATCATTCGATGGTATCCGCCTCGCGTTCGAGCTACCTATGCTAACCGAGGCGAGGTCGTTCCTGATACTTATACTGGCAGGTGTTCTCGATCTTGAGAAGAAATATTTTCTTAACACTCGGAGTTTGACATTTCCATCATCACACAGACAGGGGAGAACCTTTCCCGCATCATGTTCAACAGAGGCTTGTTCTTTGCGGCCAGCGCTACATTCCTTGGATCAAGCTTGAGCCAAACATTGCCCCCTGGCCATACAACTAGTAACGGCTCCCAACGCCCCATCTTTGGTCCATTAATAACTACTAACAACCTGATGTAGCTTGGGATGAGGCTTCCGCAGCATCCAAGGACTTCGTGTCCCAGTTGACCACAGTCGAGAAGATTGGTCTCGTCACAGGAGGTTACTCGAGTCCCAGCCTTCCATGTGTGGGTGCGATCGGGTCCGTCGAGCGACTGGGGTTCGAGGGGGTGTGTTACTCGGATGGACCTAGCGGCTACTCGCGTTCCGATGGTGTCAGTATCTTCCCTGCCGGGGTCTCAACAGCAGCTACTTGGGACAAAGACCTCATGTTCCGACGCGCTGTCGCCCTCGGAGAAGAGTTTAGAGCTAAGGGTGCTCACGTACACTTGGGGTTAGTTTGACCTCTTCTTTCACATGGCGCGTTAAGCTGTGCCAATTACGATGCTGACTTCCTTCCAGCCCATCTTCGGGACCTCTTGGCCGCCACGCAGTGGGCGGCCGTAATTGGGAAAGCTTCGGGCCTGACCCTTACCTGGCTGGAGTTGCCATGAATGCTTCGGTTATCGGGATCCAGTCAGTCGGCGTACAAGCCTGTTCGAAACATTTCATAGGAAACGAGCAGGAAACTCAACGGACTTCGACTGTTAGCGATAATGGCACAATAATTGAGGCCATCTCTTCGGATATCGATGATCGCACTCTACACGAGCTATACCTTTGGCCCTTTGCCAATGCGGTGAAGGCAGGGACAGCAAGCATCATGTGCTCATACAACCGGGTCAATGGAAACTACTCTTGCGCCAATCCAGAGATGATTTCGATCCTCAAGGATGAGCTAGCGTTCCCAGGCTATGTGGTTTCCGACTGGTACGCTACCCACGAGACGCTGAGTTCCGCAAATTCTGGGCTCGACTTGGAGATGCCGGGCAATGTCAGTGCCGCGGCTGGAGCCTCCTTCTTTGGCGAGTCGCTCCTCGATGCAATCAACAGCGGCCTCGTTTCAGCAGATCGCCTCGGCGACATGGCAACGAGAGTTCTGACACCGTACTTCTTGCTTGGACAAGACAAGGACTTTCCTTCTGTTGATCCGTCAAGCGGAGCCGCATTCCTACGCTATCAGTACGGGCATCAAATTGCACTCCCATCGAGCTATGCGGAAGTTCCAGCTCGCGATGTCAGAGGGAATCATGCGGAGTTAATCCGAGAGATCGGCGCTGCGGGAACTGTGCTCCTGAAGAATGTTAACGGCACTCTACCTTTGACTGAGGAACTCAATATCGGAGTTTTCGGCAACGATGCCCCTTATCCTACCATTGGCTCGGTCTTCCTTGATATCGGGACCCAGCCAGAAGGATTCGTAATGGGCACCGTCAATATTGGCGGGGGCTCCGGGACCGTTCGACACACGGACTTGGTCAGCCCTTTTGAAGCTATCCGAAAGCACGCAGAGTCTTTGGGTGGGCGAGTGCAGGCAGTTTTCGACAACGACGAGCTAGCGGATGGCCGCTTTAGAACGATCTACCCAGTCCCGGACGTCTGCCTTCTCTTTCTCAAGTCCTACGCTACTGAGGGCCAAGACAGACACTCCGCCGAGCTACAGTGGTCTGCCACCAAAGCTGTCGAGAACACCGCGGCAATGTGCTCCAACACTGTCGTCATCATCCACGGGCCCGGCGTGGTGGTCATCCCATGGGCGGACAACGAGAACGTCACGGCCATTCTGAACGCTCATTACCCGGGAGAGCAGACGGGAAACGCCATTGTCGATGTTCTTTGGGGGGCGGTCGAGCCATCAGGTCGTCTTCCTTATTCTATTCCGAAAAACGAGTCGGACTACGGTCCGTCCATTGTCAACCTGACGGGACCTGCCACCGACCGAGATGCCTGGCACTCCATCTTTGAAGAAGGACAGATGATTGACTACCGTCACTTGGACGCGAACGATATCGAGCCTCAATACGAGTTTGGCTTTGGACTGTCCTATACAGAGTTTGAGATGGGTGACTCTCTAGAGATTCATGTCTATACAGACATCGCCCCTGTTGCGGATGAAGGGAATGGCGTGGGGCCAGGCGGATTAAGCGATCTCTGGGAGGTGGTGGCCTCAACGACCATTGAGGTCACGAACTCAGGAAGCCTGGCAGGATCAGCCGTGCCCCAGCTGTACGTTTCTTTTCCTAACTCCACGACACCAGAGGGGACGCCCGTCAAGGTTCTGAGAGGTTTCGAAAAGGTGCATCTAGGAGTCGGTGAAACCAAGTCTGTGGTCTTTGACCTCATGAGAAGAGATTTGAGTTTCTGGAATATCGACAAGAAGCAGTGGACTATCCCAAGTGGCGCTTTCCGCTTCATGGGGAGTTTCAGCTCGAAGGACATTAGAGCTACGGCCGAAGCCCAAGTGATTTCTTAGGCAAAGTGGGTGTGTTGGGCGTTAGAGGCAGGTTTTGTCACCTTTGAGGTTTTCCTTGCAACTTTCCAATGCTCGATGTAGACGAAAATAGTAGATATTTGAGCATAGGTAAAGATTTACTTATTGAGAAGTCGCCAGTGACTACTGCAAGTCGTAGTCGACTTTGATATCCCACCGGCAAACAGCTGAAATCTAATAACCGCAGTCCTACTCGGCATTTCTAGCCCCAACAGAAACCAGCGTATCAGGAAGATCAGAGAAAGTGAGTGACCCCTGAGTTTGAAAGTAGTAATGAAGTACTCTGGGGCAGGGAACCGGCTAAAGCAGCTTTACGCCATAAAAGCAGTGCTTCAGCTTGACATCGAAAACAAGCGTTTTTCGCAGTAGGTATTTGTTAAGAGCCACTTTTCTCGGCTTTTAGCTGACTAACAATCTGATTCCTTTCTAGGTCATTTACTCCATAGTTAAGCGAAATTTGCTAGTTTAACCCGAAAAAAGCATCGCATGCTTTGCGATTTTTGTTAGAAGCAAGGTTGCTTGAAGCAGAGCCGGTTCCCTACTCTGGGGTCAGAATGTTGATCGGCTCCGACGGCGGCGGGGTTTATAGAAAAAGTCCGATAGTCCGGATGACAGCTAGAGCTTGCCGAAAGGCATCTCACATAAATCAACCGTCAAATCTTATATGAAGTAGCTCGGAGCTTTCGCTGATTTAAGCCATTCGATGCGTCTGACAGTACCTAGATAATCTTTGACTCAAAGGTGATGTGCGGCACATCAAGACAGGTGAGCCAAGTGCGTGTGGGGACGCAATGCTTCCACACTAGATGCCGCATCGCCGCACGGGAAGCGGGGCACTGCTCGGAATACGCGTGTAAGGCAAATGTTGAAAAGACACTTATCAAAGCCAAGCCACCGCGCGCGAAACAGAGCCTCAGCCCCTGAGTAAGTAGACTTTTTGATCTAGAGATACGTAGAAGAATTTAAATACAGCCTGGCGCGACCTAGATGATGTTTCCACGTGTTCTCCTCTTTGGTATTACCTCATAACAATCCGCGTATCTGGTAGTTCCCTTACATTCACCTCCGCGGTTCACACATAAGATCACCATGTCAAAACAACTTCTCGACCGGCTCGCAGGCCGTAGAACACATCGCAAATCGAGAAATGGCTGTAGCGGCTGTAAGAAACGCCACATCAAATGCGACGAGACCCGGCCGCAATGCCGAAATTGCATCATGGCGGAGCGGATATGCTCGTACTTGAAATCAGAACCTGACGACAACGCCTCGGCTATAACCCCCACCTCATTGCCAGTCTGCACCGATATAGCGCCCAAAGACACCAGTGTCAGCCGATGTTTGGCTATTCCCAAGGACCCTGGCGAGGTGTACTCGTGTACCGGTCAGGCTTTCACAGCGAGTCACATGGCTTTCCTTCACTATGCTCAGTCCAACATGTCAGAATTCATGGCTCTGACTGGTAACGTACGACCGCTTATTGATACGGCAATCGAGCACTCTCTGACGGCACCATATCTTTTGGACCAGCTCCTCGGGTTATCTTCACTTCATCTTTCAACTCAGAATGGAGCCAAGGCGTCTATATATTTCCACCAAGCCACTGAGTTGCAGACACGAGCGCTAGGGTTCTTCAACCAGACGAAAGAGCATATCTCAGACACGACGTATATTCCGACATTTGTGTTTGCCTCTCTTCTAGGCATACATGTCCTATACGAAACACTACAATGGCACTGCGGCTCTCTCGCAGATTTTATTGACGCCTATGTCAACTATTCGCGTCTACATCGAGGGGTACGATCCATCACCGGGAAATACTGGGACGAGATACTTCAGTCTGATCTGAAGCCTTTGCTGTTTATGGTGGACATTATGAACAAGGAAAGCTTTCAAACTCCGGGTCCGGAAACGAAGCAGCTGAAGGAGTTCCTGGAAAACATCCCAACGTCGTCAGTGTCGACCCTTGCCTGCATCGCGGCCCTCGAAAGGCTTCAATGGGTTCTCGACTTGGCCGGACGACAGCGGTCCAAGTTCGAAGTCGGCGTTCATGCGATGATGGCCTGGCCACTGTGTATTCCGGACGAGTACATTGAAGCACTGCACCAACACCAACCGGAGGCTCTCGTCGTTTTGGCCTTTTACGCCGCGATACTGCACAGGTACCGGCGCTTCTGGGCGTTTGGTGGTTCTGGTGCGCCCATAGTACATCTGATATCGAATAGTGTCGGGTCGTTCTGGCAAGATGTCTTGACTTGGCCGTTACAGGTATTAATTGAGAGTTGAACCTTTGCCTGCATGTACTCTCGTTGCTTTTCAAGACTTTACTGCGTATTATCACCTCTCGCATAAAGGTTATCGGGGCACCGCGATGCTGACCCAAAGACTTACCTATTGGTAGCATGGAGGTACCAGTACTGATGGAATATTGACGGCAGGAAGGTGGGTAGATTTGGAAGATAGCCTGGGCTATGCAAACGGCCCTTCCACCTACTTCCACTAGCGGAGGAATCGTGGGCTACGCCCATCAACCTTCTCCTTACACATACATACGCAGTCCATCATCACCAGATTATCGAGCTTCGTACCGGCCCTCAGGCTACCCTGCTGACGTCTATACCAACAAGTACCTTATTCAATGGATTCCTGGCTGTGATCGCCCGCAAGACCAACCCACTAAGCCGGCTGACCCGGCCCAAGCTCCGTCCTCGACTCATGCCTACCTCCGTTCCAGACAGCCAGTACGACTCGCTCTTCGGAGACCCGGCATTGACTCATGCGGTCACGGGCTGTGAAAGCCATGTGAACCTGCCTTATGAACTTCTCGGTGTCTATCTTGCGGCCCAAGGAGGTAGTCGGACTTGAGACTCGGCGAGGCTTCCTTACAGTGACCGATTATGTTGACAGCAACTACCTTATGTCAAGTGAGGAGACATCTTGTCGAATATCGTAACCGTACTAGGCGTCTGTGGATGGATTTCTTCAAAGGATGTTAGATTCTGAATTCTGGCCTGTTACGCGAAGCCCTCAGACCGACGTGTCGGTCGATCATGTTCATCCTGTCCATACGGCCGTCACTTTAGCCCATCTCAACTGCAGCCCCTCACAAGAAGGGGCCCGCCAGCCCGTTTGTAGAACATGCTCCCTCTTCCTTTATCTACGCGCTCAGATCAAAGACCCTCAAACCAGGCACAAAGCTTAAATATTGGGGGGTGGCTCTCGACTCTCGACTCCAGATCAATCGCCCTGGGTGCTTAAAACGTGGGCGGGCAAAGCTTAGGACATCCCCCTTAAGGAAATTTCGTCTCCCCGAACCGAGCGACCGGGACCACCATACGAACAAATACCACAGGAGTCATGTCATCCCGTGAGGACTGGAACACGCTATCGTTGGCTTCATGGTGCGCGAAATCCGATTCTGGCTGACGAGGCTGTTTCAAGTAACCTAAGCACTGCCGTCGGCGTAGCCGTTTGATGAGAAACGGCAGAAAACATGCCTACCCGTCATTGTTGGGGATCGTGCGAGGAATACTTAAACTGATGAAGACCTAGCAATGAATGATCTTTTCTTCATCATCACTCACATCAATCATTTCATAAAGTCCTGGTAGACTAAAGTCACTCACTCTCTCATCAATCACCACACTCGCTCTCACAAGTTCAAGCACTTGACCTTCACAATCCTTCAAAATGAAGTTCACCGCCATCATCGCTGCCGTATTCACCATCGCTCTCTCAGTGTAAGTAGGCTCTCCATCCTCCCTTCCCTCAACCCCGGTAAGCAAAGAACCTGCAACTAACACCCTCCACAGCAAAGCAGCAGACCGCGTCCAATGCGCCGGCACAGTCGACACGGCTCCCAACAGAGGCCGCTACGAGCCCAGCGGCTCCCTCACAGCTAACCTCACCCAGGTCGCCTGCAAGAGCGGCAACATTGATGGCGCGCTCAAGGGGAACCAGAAATGCTGCATCTCCAACGATAAGGGCGCGTTTGGGGCTGCGTGTACCGCGGCCAAGTTCCCGCCGCAGTTCGCGAGTGGGTTTAAGGCTACTTTCCAGCCTTGCTGAGATGGTCATGAGGACCTGTGGGGGAGTGGGAGTGGGATGGTGGGGAGGTTTGATTAATAGCGAAGCGATTCATTTTTCAAGACGTAGAAATAAGAAGGGCTTCATGTCATCTATCTTGTGAATATCTATGGAAGGATCTTAAGATGGATTTGCAAGCTCACAAGGCTGATACAGAGAAGCACCTAATCCATATCGTTAGGGTGAATATGGATGAGATAGAGGAGGATAGGACCCAAGAAACATCCTTAAGGGCCATTGACGGGCAGGAGCATGAACGTGCAAATTGACAGGTGGAGCAGGAAGGGGCTTCGTCTTTCATCTCATTCCTTTTGATTGCGTTTTAGTCCTCGTCCCATCATGACGGGTCCGTCTTTGAGCCTGGCCCTGCCGGTATATCTAGGTCCATCATCACCCTGCCTTTCAGTTGAGAAGCAGATGACGCATCGAGCGAACCTAAATATCAACCCGGTATCTTCATTATTACTCTCTCCCCAAGATCCCGGATTTCCTGCGCAGAGACAGCTAACGAGCCAAAGTACCCCCCTCCTACCCAACCTCAATCGATATTCCACCCCAGAATTTTGCTACATATAGAGTACCATAAAGAGTCCCTCAGCCATGCCGAACCTCAAGTCGATTGAGGACAACAAAGTCGACAAGGCTGTATCGGAAATACTATTCACAGCCGCCCATCATTGCCCATCTGCATATGTCTACGAGATGTGGCAGTGCCGCGACGGAGACTAGCGAAGCGAATTGCAAATGTGCCACTCACATCGATGGAGATCGACGGAGACCTAATGTCGACTTTCCAAGTTCGAACTTGCACACCGCATCCGCAAAAGAAGTGTAAAGAAAAGAAGGAACGCCATCCCTACCCTACCCACCCCAATCCAAGATCACGCAACTCCGATCCGAACAGGCTTCTTTCTGCAATAAAGACTCCCTGAGATGCGACTTGAGGTCTAGGTCTCAAAGGAGAGGTTGCATGACTAGCTTGTATGCGAAGTAGATGACCCTTCGTACTCACTTGAAGTAGCTTGGGGGCCCAGGCAAACTTTTTGATGTACAATGTTCGTCACTGCGTCGTATTCTGATGGCAATATGCCCAGACGGCTTGGCAGCGTCAACGTAAACAATGGCGGCGTCATAGTATGCCGTGCTTTGAAATATGTTCCCGGGCCGGGAACACGTCGTAACGTCATGTAGAAACTTTTGGCTTTTCCCACAAAAGCGTCGGGGTATTTTTGTTTGTCGATTCCATGTATCGTAGTTTTTCTCGTTCTTCGGCGTCCGGTCCGCGTTGGTTCCCGTCGAAACTTTCATACTCGTCCAGCAATGCACCCTTTAACAACTGGGACAAGTCGCTGGCGACCTTCAACTTTTCCATGTCGTCCAATGAGACATATACCAACAACATTCGCACCCCACAAGACTTCGTCCCATCGACGCCCTATTCGCAGGGAATTACAGATTTCTCGGCCCTAGCTCGCATGTGAGTGGCGTGAGTCTCAAGGCATCGTGCCATCAAATGAGTGACTGGCCAGACTGCGGCTTTGTCAAGCATGTAGGCCGTGACTCTGAGGATCTTGGCCGCGTGGCCTGCGTGGTCGTCCATTTGCATCCTAGTGTCGACGCCTCCAATATTTCCTTGTACAAGCTCCAAGTTCATCTTCATCTCTGCAGAAGCCAACACCTCCTGAACCTTGCCGAGTAACTTGACATCTTCCTCCTCTAGCAGCATAATCGCAGGGACTTGCGATAGGTCAACATCATCTTGGCCGAGGATTCCAAGGTATCGTCCAACGCGATCTTGCAAGGTTGCCACCCATTCAGCCAGGACTTGAGCACAGTCGAATGCGCACATGGCCGATTGCAGAGGCAGTTCTCTGCTGGAGAAGTCCGCAAATGTGACGCCCAACTTGTCCGACATGGCCAGTGAATCGGCCGCGTAAAAGGCGGCCTTGCGAAGATGCTTCTCCCTACGGGACGTGGACCGGTTTAGTGCAGCCTGGGCATGCGGGAATTTGACGGCAGAAAACTCTGGAGATGACGACGACTGGGTTGCTGGGGATTCAACGAATACGGAGCTTGAAACCGAGTTATCAGAGTGATCTGTGCCTGTCGATTCCGGGTTAGAGGCGGGTGAATGCTCGGCGTGCTGGACAATTTCGCTGCCCCGGGAGAGCTCGTCGGCCATGGCATCCCAATCGCGTTGCCAGAACTTCTCCTTCGAGCGGGCGAGATTCACAAAAAGCCGTACGTAGGCCAAGTCGAGAAGTGGAATGGCATCGGCAGATAGCGGCCCAAGGCCGAATGGGTTCGGTCTCTCGAGGCTATGGTTCGGGTTGCTTGCCCAAGCTGCCTGCCAGGCTTTCAGAGCTGGCTCGATGTGACGATGCATCTTCTCGGTTTCCTCGTTGGTCCATACCTTGTTGTGATGGCGTTGGCGCGTTTCCCAGATGTAGTTGTGTAGTGCGTTGATCAAGATGAGGCAACCAAACGTCGACGGCTTGAGATCGCTTTTGAGGTCGTTCATACCACCCTGCGCGAATACCTGCTGGCCATTCTGGTAGGCAAGTTGCTTCTGCTGCTTCTCATTAGACCTGAGCAGGTCACCCAAGGCTTCATGGAAGGTCATCCGGTTGTGATTTGCGGCGCGGATACCGCCCTTGGCTGCGAAGGCCGTGGCACTCTCGGCGGCGAAGAAATCCTCATCACATGGCAGGTCGAGCAGGATCTCTGAGTTGGTTAACGCCGGAGTATGATTATATGCCGCAACCAGGAGGCTAGAGAGGATGAAGACGACGTAAAGGGTACGCTTGCGTTCCTCCATGACCTTCCACTGGAGCCACTCCGCTTGCTCCTCGGAGTCCGACCGAAGGCCGCTCCACGTATCGTCATGCATGTGGATATCATGAGCTTCTGTGGATTCCACGCGAATGGGGCGGAGCAAGTCGGCAGCTTGGGCCAGGCTGACAAGAGCCGCGCAGTGGGTAGAAGCGATATCGCTGGCCGTCTTGTCTCCGCAGTTGTGGCCGTAGACGACATTCAGGAGCATGGCTTGCACCAACCATACCGGGGTGTGAACAGAGGATTCCTGGTTGTGAGAGGTCGGTTCAGATGCTGGAGCTCTCCGTAAGTCGGCCTTTCTCACGTCGGCTTTCCGCCTTTCCTCAAGGTACAGTTGAATCATTTTCTTGGCCATCTCGAAAAGTTCCCTAGATTGGACGTGGTCCATTTCGTACAAGGCGCCAATGGCAGACATGGAAAGAATGAGACACCCGCTCCCACCGACAGTGTTGGATCGGTTGGCAGCGGTGGGTGGCATCTCAAAAGTCAAAGTGGGAATGTGCAAAAACGGCAAATGAGGGTGGAAGTAACGAAGGTAAGCGCCAACATATCGTTGTAAGTCTTGAGTGCTAGGTAAATTCTTTACATGGTCTGGAACACTGTTGGCTGTGTTCTGAAAGCCCGGCGACATTGGCGAGCTTGGAGTCGCAAATGAGTATCTCCGTCCACCAAAGGGAGAGCACTGCGAAAGAGCACCAACGATGGCACCTCGGGTCGTTTCCGTAATGGTGGAGACGGGCGACACACCGTGGTTACCGCCGTTCAAGGACGAGGGGGTCTCTGGCCCTCCGTTGAAGTTGAGCGCTTGGTTGAGGTTTTGCGTGTTGAGTCCGGAAACCATCGACGGACTGAGGGAGCTAAGAGAGGGAGGCGGCGTCGAGAAATAGGCATCGTTCATTTTCTGCGCAGCAGGTTGTGGTGAGACGGGTGCTCCGTTTAAGAGATCTGGGAAGACCGAACCATTTAGATCCATGGCAAACGGGTTCGGGACCTGAGGAGGACCCATAACAGCCGGTTGCCACATTGAACTCGTCCCTGCCGGAGCAGGGTGATGATTGGAGCCGTCCACCATTACATCGCTTATGCCACTTTGGCTGGTGGTGCTAATTGCCGAGGGACTCGAGCCGTCTACGGCGTTATCGGCGCCCTGAAAAGACATCTGGTGCTCGAAGCCTGTCAGCCAGTCGAAGCTGTCGTCCAATTGCGTCGTCGACATGTCGCCGGCCAGGCCGTGGGGAAAGGGTGAAGCTTGGTCCATGGCCATGGATTGCGGCGAATCATTGTAGTGGAGCGCGTTAGGGTTGATGGTGGAGCCCGGGCCGAACAGCAGACCCTCAAAGTCAAAGTCGGGATTGAAGACGGCCATGGGAGGCGCGGTCCGCAAGCCGCTAAAGTCCATGTTGTTGATGCCGTGCGTCTCAAGCTTGGGCAAACCGTGAGACATGCCTCTGTGACCCATCGCAGCCGACATGCCGGCAAAGTCCATGTTATGCACGGGCAGCCCCGCGAGGCTGGGGTGACGGCTGTGTGTGCCAGGAGGCATGCCCCGCGCTGCCTGTGCGTTGGCCGCGGCAATCATCTGCATAGCATTGCCGTCGACATGGCTGATGGTATTTGCCCTGGGTCGCATAGAGGCAGCGGCGGCATTTGCGGCGGCGGCAGCATTAGGACCAGCGACACTGTTCTTACGTGCCCGGGCTCCAGGTGCAGCACTGCTAGCACTCTCACGACGATTGCGAGGACGTGACGAGGGTGTTGTGGTCTGGTGAAGCTTCTGCTGGTGTCTCAGCAGCAGATCGCGACGGGCAAAGCATCTTGTGCACTCGGGACACTCAAAGGGCTTCTCCTTTGTGTGGGAACGCTCATGACGTTTCAGATGCTCCAATCGGGCGAACGAGCGCTGACAAGTCGCGCACACATGAGGGCGGGGTTTATCGGTCTTGGGAGGAGGGAAATTGGCAGGTGTCTTCGTATTGACGGTGATGGTAGAAGCTACTAAAATGATTGCGAGGACATTGTCAGCTACGATCAGAATCATTCGAATAAATTTAAAGGGTTGATGGCATTGCATTGCATTCCTCGGAAAGTCATGGGCGGCGGGTGATGGTGGGATTGAATTGAATGGCGGGACATGCGGGTGGGAACAGG